TGGACATATAATTTTGAACTGGGTAATATGCAATCTGGGACCGACAGAGTCATGGAATTATATGAAGTGGCAAAAAGAAGCAGGTTAAGAGTTTCAAAATATATTAGGTGGAATAGCTCAAACCTAGAATGAAAATCATGAAAAGGTAGATACGTGTAAAAATAGGGACGGCATTGGGGCATTGGCATGGATTGATTAGAGGGAATATCTTGTGTTGTCGTGATTGAAGGGAGTTGAGATAAATGTGGTGCAATCAGAAACGGGATCTGTTTTACGTGAGGCCGAAAAACGTGCCCTCAAGCTCACAATCTATTAATTGTCAACCTTTGTATCATTATCCCACGATTTCGATTTCCACATATAGTGACATCTGCCCAATGACATGTAAGATTAAAAAAGCTCACCTTTTACACATAACTTTTCTACTTATTTTGAATAATAGTGGCCTAGGTAAGAAACTAAGATTCAAAATAATTTTTTTTTTGTCTCGATCAATGTATTTTCTAATCATTTTGGAAACTATATAACAATTTTAAATTTCAATCGAGATATATAGATCATAACTAATCTTAATTCTATTGTTATATATACATGAACAATACTATTTTATTTAAAATTATATTTTGCTATTCATTTTAACGACATCGTTGAAAAAATATGTACTTAGTTGAAATTTAAATATAATATTAAATAATGAAAATTTAAAAATTCAAAAAATTGAAACTAAAATCATAAAATTATGAATCATCTTAATTTTTAAATAAATTACAATTTTAAAATCACAACTAAAACTAAAAGTCTTTAAAATTTTTAAATTTTAGTTAACAAATTTAAATTTTACAAATGAGCTGGAGGGGGTAGTGGGGTTAACATAACACAACTCAGGACACCATAACTCGGAGGGTCACATCAGGCTCATGGGCCACGGGCCTGCAGTTTAAGGTTTGTACGAACTTGTCAAAATGTTTTTTTTTTTTCTTCTAACATATGTATTCAAATATTAACTTGTATTTATTGAGGTTTAAATTTTATATTATAAATTAAAATAAATTTATGTTAATTGATACGCGTTTTATGCTGTGTCTAAATATCTTTTAAATATATATATAATTTTTTTTAATTTACTTTAAAAATATGTATTATATTAATTTTTCATAAATAAATAAGTATTAATTAGTTTTAAATCAGTTTAATATTTTATAAGTACAATTTATATAATTTAATTTTAAAATTAAATCATTTAATAAAAATTTACTAAACGGTTAAATGTTTAAGAAACTAACCGGTAATATTTAAGAATATTCTTTTACGTATGCAAACAAGATTCAAGTGCAACACTCTTTAAAGAATTTACAGTACTAGTTTTTAATAATTTTTTTATTTTAATAATAAATTTTATGATGGAGGTTCATATTAAAAATTAGTGTTATCATCAAAATAAATATTTGATTAATTTTAATCCAGAATTAATAAACTATTTAAAATAGTGTAACTTATTTTGTTTCAAAATTTTGAAGATGACAGTTAAGTTTTTTTTTTTTTTTATAACAAACGATCTTTTTATCATAACAAATTTTATTTTAATGGACTGTTAATATAAAAAAATTATACTATCAATTAATTAAAATATATTTTGTAGATAAATGTAACTGATCCAATCATAATTACGGTTGCGATATGGTTGCCAAACTTTTTTTCCAAAAAAAACCCTAATTTTACGACTACAATTATGGATAATAGCAGATGACAATCATTATATATACGTAAAAATAAAACGCAAACTTGTAAACAATGTTGACAGTGAAAAAATATTATTTTTATGAAAATGTGGTTTTTTAATATTCAAAAACTGTATTTATTAAATTTAATTTATAAAATTTTGACAAGTGTTTTTTATTTCACATAGCTTCAACAAGTTATTTAAATTTTGACTAAAGTGCGGTGTGTATATACATATAAACTTTAAATTAGTTTATAGGCAATACAATTTTTTATACCATGAATAGTACAACGATGCTTCGATAGACCACAGTATTCTCTGATTCTATCGATGCCAGAGACACAAGGTGAATTGGTGATCAGATTCACAGGAAAGTTACATTATATATATTCACAAGCTTTTGGAGTTCCCTTTTGTTTTCTTCACAGCTTAGCTTTAAAAGTGGTTTTCTCCTATATTGGAAGGGAGTCATCGATCAAACTTTTTAACAAAGCCAGCTTCTGCAATGATATTTACTGGTCTAATCACATGTCCTTCAAAACACATGATAGTAAATGTTAAAGTTGGTAGTGGTTAAGTTTTTTTTTTTCTTATACTTTATCTTTTCCCTCTTTCTTACCTCATGTAACGATACTTGCCTAAATATTATATTCATATATTATTTATCTAGTTTTATGTAAATAACTATATAACTCTTTAATACGTTTTGATATTTTTGAATATTTAAATTTCCGATATCATACGTGATTCAAGAAATTGGGCATGCATTTTTTCAACACATTTTTTGTTAATTAAAATTTATTGATACTTATAAAAATTATGTAAATTTTATTATTTTACACTCTTAAATTATTATTTGTTTTTTGTGTAATTTTAGTTTTTAATAAATTTTAACCAATAATAAACAATATGTTAAAAAATATACTGCTAATATTTCTCTTGTTATCTATATTGCCAACCTCTCACGTGCTCTCATATATGTACTTTACCAAGACAACTTGAATTTTCTTTTAACCTATGTTTTTCTTTTATGGATGACTAAAATTAAATTGTTTTTATTAGCTATTGTTCAACGAATGCTATTTCAATCAATAAGTAAATTTTTTTACTATGAATTATATAATTTAATGGATTAATGCGTTAAATATTGATTTATTAGCAAGTTCCTTGAGATCATGCTAGAAAATTGAAATTAAATTTATAAGATACTGGTATCATATTTTATAATTAACATATTATTGGTTAATTCTGTGTAGGTTTATTAAATAAGGCAGACTTCATTTTCCAATTTAATGAATCGTACTCCCAATTTAGAAAATTTTACAAGAATTCAAAATAACAAATAAAAAATAATGTATGGCTATCATTCCTTTTAAAGAAATAATGTATTAAACATTCCGTGTATATTTTTAGCTCGAACAGCATATTTATAGAATTAAATTTAAATAAAATGATAGTGTATTTTTTTTTTATTTAATCATGAACTATTATACGATTGAAAATTATTAATTTTCATAGTAATAACGCAAAGGTACGACACCCAAAAGAAAGAGGTGTGATTGCGACATGCAACAATTAAAAGAATACGGTTTATATGTTCCAAATTTGTCAGACCTAAAATATTGGGATGTTTATGCGTTCGATTATTGTAATAATTTTGAAAATGATATATTTTCTTGAGAATGGCTTTTGCAAATGATTATAGTTGTTTTTAAGTAAAGACATAATAATTAATGTGTGTAAATATTGGTTATTAATTTGAAGTTAAGGGGAGAGATGGCATTGATGAATAATAACTATACAACATATCATTGCCCGAAAGAGGAAAGTTTTGGTTTGGACAGCCTCTTCATCGGCTTGCTAGTGGCATGCAAGTTGTAGAAAACGCTTTCATAATCATATCCATAGGAGTGAAAAAGGAAAACCTCACGCTCAGCTTGCGGGTGCATGATTGTGATGATTGGCCATCATGTATTTTGACTGAAACACGTGTGCCGTGTCTCTCTCGCTCGTGCACCCCATTCGAATGGCACGTGTATAACAAAGGGTTTGAATTACTTGAGTAAGTATGTTTACTCACGTGATGACTTGGTTGGTTTAGGGACTGTGATTAGTAATATCCAGTTGCCACTTGCCACTTGCCACTTGCCAGCTGCACTCAACACTCAATCATATGCTACGCGGGTTATGAGAATTATTGCCCACTTCTCAGAGGTTTCGTTTAATAAAGATATATCTAACGCTATACATATATTTAGCTGTAAAAATATGAATTGGTGCAATATTGATAGTCGACTCAGATTAAATCGATATATAAATATAGAATGTGCTAAATCTTCTTATAATAATTTTTAAAAATTTATAAAAAGTATTAAATAAAATGTAAATATATTTTATATCTCAAAAACATATATGTATTTTCGTTTAACGTGTAAGAGAATAAAAAAATGGACGAGTTTTAATTAAAATTATTTATAAATATATAACTCTCCAATAGAATTAATGTGGATATAATTAACGTTTGATGGGGGGATATGGAGGATGATGGGTGCATGGCTTATAGATTACAATATATGGAGTGTAAAGTAGCAGTACTTAGGAAATTGAGCTACAGTTCCCAAAAGAGTGGGAAATGGGTTTCAGAGATATGGTTGAGTGAGTGTTTTCTTCAACATTCTCTACCACTTCAAAAGGACAAAGACGGCATTCATCATATCCCTCTCGACGTCTCATTCATCCCCATTTATATATAAAAATCCGTATCTTGAAAAGCAGATCAAAGGGCTTCCATTTTCAAGTTTTGGGATTGGAGGAATCTTTTTGCATTCCTCACATCACTTTATTTATGAAGCAAAAGCTTTGAAAGAGAGAGAGCCAGAGGCCACCGAAAAGCATGGACACCTTATCATGAAAGCAAGAAAAAAAGACCCGATTAGACGGGCCAACACACACGCACAAACGCATACATCCACACACACACCCACCCTTGTCCACACGCGCTCATTCCATCGACATTCAAATAATAATTTACTCTGTACCGTGCATGTCTCTCTGATTGTGCCTTTTTTTTTTCATCTATTTTAATTTTACTTTTGATTCGATTACTTCCCTTGCCTTTTGCTTTTATTTATAGGAAGAAATTCCCAAGTCAACTGCATCTCATCATTTGGTCTTGGTTCTTGTAGGCAACACCTCATTTCCCACTTTGTCCACTTTAGCATTGTGTCCTCTCTTCCTCCTCTATATAATCACTCATCTCCTTATCATCCTCTTCTCCACCATGGGCAGCATGAAGGTGCATCAGTTAACACGTGGATTCTGGGAGCACGAACCTTTCCTCACGCTTGGGTGCAAGCGCTTACGCCCTCTTGCTCCCAAGCTTCCCAACACCGACAATAACACTTCCACTACCAATCCTTCTGTTCCCTTTGATCTCAAGAGCTTCATCAGGCCAGAAAGTGGCCCCAGAAAACTCGTTTTCTCTGACGATAATAAGAAAGATCCACCTTCACCACAAGGCCAGGTTATCATTATTACTTATTGATCTCTTAATTATTAACTTCTTTTTTTTAATTAATTTGATTTACTCCATGCCCATCATCCATGCAGTTATATAATTCCCCTGCACGTACGTACCACATTTATATACTCATTAACGCAAATGCATTTAAATTATTAGCGAGGGGAACGAATTAAGTGAATGAATTGATCATTTAATTCTGTTGATTGAGAATAGTTAAAAATGAATATTCAAGTTATTATTATAATACACAGGTTGAAACGCATCCAGGAGGGACACGGTGGAATCCAACGCAAGAACAGATAGGGATATTGGAGATGTTGTACAAAGGAGGCATGCGAACTCCGAATGCTCAACAGATAGAGCAGATCACGGCTCAACTTGGCAAGTACGGTAAGATCGAAGGGAAGAACGTGTTCTATTGGTTTCAAAACCACAAAGCACGCGAGAGACAAAAGCAGAAGCGCAACAGCCTTAGCTTTTCTCATAGTCCTCGAACTCCCACCATTCACAGTGTTACTTTGGAGACAACGAGGGTATGTTCTAGACTAAGCTAGGATAGTACTCGTAGTAATTAATGGCATATGTATCTCAAGGTTCAAGATCATGAATAATTAATTATGGTACATCTTTAAAAAAAATTAAAAAATTAATTTAATTTAATGAAGTTAGTTAATTTTGCAGGGGGAAGTAGTAGAGGGAGATAATGAGGAAGATAGTCCGTACAAGAAGAAGTGTAGGAGATGGGTATTTGAGTGCTTGGAAGAACAAAGCAGGTTACAAGGTGAAGAGGAGGAACATAGAACTCTGGAGCTTTTCCCATTGCACCCGGAAGGCAGATGAAGGGGTTTGACAATTTAATTTATCGATCATTTTGCTTTGCTTTTGTTCCGAATCCCAGCTGATTGAATGAATGTGCTTTAATTTGCTTTATTTTTCTTTTTTCTTTGTATTGGGAAAGAAGAAAGACAAAGTTGTCTCTGATCTGTACTCTTCCACTGAATGCTATTCCTGACTTTGGAACCAAACCAAAGCGATTTGTCTCTCTTTATTTGTTGATTTCAGCTCCGGGGTAGTGTGGCTTTGAAAACGATAGATCCTTTTGACTACAGTAACATAAAACGAACGAAGCTTTTAGGTTAAAAGGAGAAGCTACGGACGCATAAGTCCACGCACCTACTCCCTCTTCTTCTTCTTCTTCTTCTTAAGCCTATCCTTTCAAATTGCAAAAAGCTTAAGTGTCCTCTAGCCGAAATCTTAAAAAAAATCATGTTAGATACTCCACTCACCCATCATAAATCAGACTTTCATAAAGTAGAGGCACATCAAGTATCAATGGGTACATGCATTTATTTATTTTTCCATCATTGACATGCAAATATCTTTTTACCACATAGTGCCTCGTAGGGCCATGAGAACCAGGACATAGGAGGGATGACCAACAATTTGAAAATAGGAGTGCCATCCAGTCCCTTCTCGTTTACCGTGTGTGTATATATATATATATATATATATATTCAGATAATGTAACAACCGAATAGCCCTTTAATGACCATCGCATATATATGTAATTGGGAATTTATTTGAAACATTTTTTAAAGATAAAATTAAGTATAATATTTTAAATGTTTTTTCTACTGTTTTTCAATTAAAAATAAAGTTTTATCTCTGTGACCTGTATCTTTAAATGTCAACCTCTATATATTTTAATCGATCTCTTTTGTTATAATTTTATTTATTTAACATTTTCGTGTTACTTTTTATCGTCATGTCACGTAATTTAAGATCACTCACTCATAAAGTTCTTTCTTTGTGCGTGTGTGTATCGAGTTAGGTTTTGTCAAGTTCAAAACTTTGAAAATTTAAATATAAATATTTTGAAATAGCATCCAATCGACCATGCATCGATAATAATGGCGAAATTGATACATAAATATGCTTTTTATATTAATTATTACAAAATTAATGATTTTTTAAATTAAATTTATTTTAAAAATAATTTTCAAGTTTTCTTTTTAAAGAAATTTATTAGTATTTTCTTTTGGTCACATGTCTTTCTCATATTTTCTAATATTTAATATTAACTTTAATCCATTTTTAATTAATTGTTCAATCATAATAACTTTTTTAAAAAAATTTAATTAATATTCAAAATTTTCTAATCAACATTAGGTAAATTACATAAGTCACCGAAATTATCTTCGATCAACTAAATTGATTTGTCAGATTTTTGAAATTTAAAAGTTTCTAACATACTAGTGTCATGTTTTTCTTACAGTTACGTGCACGTACTTTTTGTATTTCACCTTTTATAATTTATTTAATTAAAACGTATAAATTTTCAATCATTAGATATAATGGTGTATTTTTAGATTTTTTAATTAAAAATATTTTATTTAAAAAACGAAATATTAACTGAAAATAGATGAATTTTCACATTTTTAAATATTGGTGTATTTGTAAATCATTTTTTAATTATAAAATATTTGCTTTGAAAAAATAAATATTAATTGAAAATAGATGAATTTTTCACAATTTAATTATAATTTATAATACAATTAAAATACTTTTATCCGTTAAGTCAATCTTATCTTTGTTATTTAAATTTTTTATAGGTCATATATATTTATAAATTCACATGCATTGCTTGATATATTTCTAAGTGTAATAAAAAAAACTTACTAAGCCTAATAATGAGTTATGGTTAGTACACATTTCTTTAAGTATACATTTATGTCCTGTTAACTACATAAAAAAAGTATTAATTAACACAAAAAATATTATCAAATGTCAGAATAATCTATATTGATAAACTTTTTTTTTCTAACAAACAACGTACGATACTAACATTTGTATATTGATAATATAAGTTAATGTTTTATACTAATAAAAATTTAGTATAACGTGTTATATTATTAGTTTAAATTCAATATTTATACTAATCATTTTATTTTTGTTAAAAAATGTACTAATAAAATTTATTTTAATGATAAATCGTTAAAAATGACTATTTTTAGTAATGCCGTGAGCCTTTTAAAAATTAAAGAGATTTCGGATTAAATGGAAAAATTAGGTCACAGCTTATGAAGAATTTGAAAAACGCCTAACTAAAACAAGTTGTGCCGCGGTGGGTTAAGAGTCTCTGATTTTTGGGTAAAATTTAGAAAAATGATTTTTTGTTCAACGTACAGATTAGGATTTTTCAAACGAAAATCAAACGTTGAAAGATTGATATATACCACTACAATTGATCTAATACATCGCTAATACAAGATTAAATATAATTAAGTAATAATAAATTTGGATTCGCCATTTTTTTAAAAAGTAAACTGGGTGGGTTTTCAGACAAATAAAGCTAAACAGTGGACAATGAAGGATCAGTCTAAAAAAATTGTTATTAAAAACCAGTTCACACTTTTATTCAATAAAAAAATTAATTCAAATAAAATCCTAATGCTATTTTTTACTAATAAGTTGTTTTTTATTTTATTTTGTGCGATCTATACACGTGATATGATATGAATCTTTTGTTAATTTTGTTTTTTCGTACATACTGACAAATTTTATATCTTTATCTCTGTTTATTGCTATTATTATTCAAAAATAATTTAAAGTTTTAAAAAATATTTTTCTTAATATGAAGCCAATTTATTTAAAGGTTAAAGAATATACAATATAGTTACAGCATGCATGGCGTGGCTGGCTGAGTCTTTCTCGGTTCGGGGATGACGTGGTGTGAGGGGTAAGGTATCCCAACTTCGTGATGGAGAAAATTTATCCTTTTTTCTTATATTATAATATTTTGTTATATAATTTTTTCTTAAAATATATATAATAAAAATTTAGACTATGAAACAAAAAATTAACAAAATATTTTAAAAATTAAACAGCCTCTAAATTTCTTTATTTTTACTTTGAATTTTAAATATTTTTTTTTGTATTTTAACTCTTCATATTTGTTACATTTCATTCTTCATCTTTTATCTTTTATTGCTGTTTTATCACCTCCTTTAAATATTTTATTTATATCGATCATTTTTACTCTTTCACTTTCACACATGGTTCAAAACTGAAAATTTTAATCTTTACATAAGGTTCCAAATGTCAATTTTAAACATTATTTTTAAACTTTAAAAATTGTATTAAAATTATAAATAAAACTAATTATTATCATACAGAATATTTCTAAATGTATATATAAAATATAAAGTGTGAAAAAAAAAAGCAAAAAGCAACTCTCTGGAGTCAATTTTTTTAGTTCGATCTAATCCTGATTAAGGGCCTGGGCCTCGTGCTGGTCCAAAACAGACAGCAACTATTCGCTCTATATGCAGAGGACAAATACAGACGATAAAAAAGATGATAAATAAAGTTTGGTGGTTGGAGGACATGGCGGTAACTAAGGTTGTGAATTCATCAACCTAAAAGTAAGTTGCGAATTGGGAATTTAGATTTCTAAAACTGTTAAAGAAAGAACGAATATTAATAGATACTTGTATCTTTTAACTCTATTAATAAAAAATTGATTTCTAGTTATGTGTATAAAAAAGTATTATTAAGAGAAATAATGCTTATTTATTAATCTCTACATTTTTAAAGATTTACTGATTTATTTGTCCATTTATTTATTTATTATTTCTTGAATTTCTTTTAATGAAATAGATTCACCATAGATGATTCAATTATAAACAATATCAAGATGTATCGTTTTTTAAATAATTTATGTTTTAACATAAATAGAGTAAATATTATTAAATTATAATACACGCATTATGTTTTATTACTTTAGTATTCTTTATTTAATATCTTTGATTTTCTAATAGAAAAGGTATTGGGTACAAATAGGGCTGACCAAAAAATTTAATTTTATAAGTCAAATTCATAATCAATGTTAAATTGAATTTTTTAATTAACTATAGGCGTATAAGCGATTTAATATTATAAATTTATTCTCTAAAATCTTATATATATATATATATATATAATATCTTTTTATTAATTTTAATTCTTATAATTAAAATTAAATATTTAAAATAATATTTTTAAAATATAATTATTATATTAAAGATATTAAAATATAAAAAATATTTTTGAATTAATTACTACTGCTATTTTTGTATTTATGTTTATTTTTAATTTTTAAAATATTATAACATAATAATTTTATTCTTATTTATATTATTAATTTTTATTTTTTTATAGGTTTTAATTTAAATTTGTTATTATTAACTTTGTTTATTAAAAATAAGTTTAAATATGATAATAAATATTTTATAAACTTCTATAAAATATAATATAATTAATAAATATTATTAAAATTTTCTTAACAAATTAATTTTACCTTAAAATTAAATTCATAAATATATTAAAAATCAGTTTTGCTTTAAAAATTAAATTTAAAACTGGATTTAAAACTAATTTAATGTAAAAGTAAATTAAAAAAATTAGTTTCAACCAAAATTAAATTTAAAACATTTTAAATTTTAAAACTACTTTTAAATTTATTTAAAAATTTAAATATGTATAATTAATTTACGTAATAAATAGACGATAAAAATAGAATATATATAAATATTTATTAGTTTAATATAATATAAAAATAAAAAAATTATATTATTAATAAATTAAAATATATGCACATATAATTTTATATTAGTTATTATAAAATTTAAATATTTTTTAATATAATAATTTAATAATAATATAAAAATTATTTATAGTATATTTTTAACATATTTAAAATCAATTTTAAATAAAATAAATTTAAAATTAAATTAAACCAATTTTAAAAAAACTAAAATAAATTAGTTTAAAATCTAATTTATATAATTAAATTTTAAATGAATTTAAATTTTTTTTAAAAAATTCAACCCATACACATTCTTACGATTTTCATGTTATATAAATAATATTTAAAAATAAAATGTATTTTATCTTATTTTTCTTCTCATGACAGTTATGTTCTGATTTCCGTTACTCCAGTTTTGGCGCCTTAGGCGAGTTCATACATAAAACGAATATAAATTTGACTTTGTGAAGCGTCTTTGTGCAGAGCGAAAATCCTTATACTCGTGAGGGTTTAGATTTGTGAGAGTGAAACCATTTGATTCAGTTGCTGAAGCGTTATATTTTTGAAGATTGATAGCAATGGCGCAAATCCCCGAGAATGAAGAAGTGGCTCAGCGTCATATTCCGCCGTTGAACACGTCGTTGTACGTTGGTGATCTTGACGATCACGTCACCGATACGATGCTCACAAATCACTTCAACCAGGTTGGTGAAGTCGTTTCCGTTCGAATTTGCATGAACATGTTCACTCATCAATCCCTCGGTTACGGCTACGTCAATTACAGTAATCACGAGGACGGTTTGTTTCTTCTTTCCTTTCTCTCTTTATTGATTCTTGAAATTGAAATGATTTGATATTTGATACGATAGGATTAGTCGCGTCTTTTATTGCTTCTTGAATCTTGCTTACAAAACTATTGGTATCTTATTAATCATGATAAGTATCATGCAGCCAAAAAAGCAATTGAAGTGCTGAATTTCACTTCGTTGAATAACAAACCCATTAGGGTAATGTTTTCTAATCGGGACCCTAGCGCTCGGAAGAGTAGTACTGCTAACCTCTTTGTCAAGGTGCCTCTGTCTCATTTATAACCTTTCTCTCTGGATTACTAGTTTTTTTTTTTTTTTTAATCAGTTATTGAGTCTTGGAGTTTCTTGATGGTGCAGAATTTGGATAAGGAAATAGATAACAAGGCTTTGCATGAAACCTTTGTGGCTTTTGGAAATATTCTTTCTTGCAAGGTCGCGGTGGATCCTTCTGGTCAGTCTAAAGGCTACGGTTTTGTGCAATTTGAGAAAGAAGGATCTGCACGAGAAGCTATTGACGAGTTAAATGGCTCGATAATCCATGGTAAACAGCTCTATGTGGGTCAGTTTCGGCGAAAGCAGGAGAGAGAGAGTGCTCTGAGGGATGGAAAGTTTAATAATCTATATGTGAAAAACCTATCGGAGTCAGTAACGGAGGGTGAGTTGAACATAATTTTTGGAGAATATGGACCCATTACCAGTACTGTAGTGATGAGAGATATAGATGGTATATCGAAACGTTTTGGTTTTGTCAATTTTGCGAATGTTGATGATGCTGCTAAAGCTTTAGAGGAACTTAATGGAACGATTTTGGATGGTAAGGAGTTGTACGTTGGAAAAGCCCAGAAAAAAAGTGAAAGGCAGCTTGAACTGAAAGAACGATATGGGCAGACTTCGAAGGATGCCTTTGGTGTGCATCCCGGTTCAAACTTGTATCTCAAGAACTTGGACGATAGTGTTGACGATGAAAAACTCTGCAAACTGTTCTCTGTGTTTGGTTTAATAACCTCATGCAAGGTGTGTGTCAACGGTTCTTCTATTGGTTCATAACTGCAATGGTCAAATCTTCATCTTCGTGAAATATTTCTTTTATTGCCTGACCTGCAGATTATGCGAGATCCACAGGGGATTAGTAGAGGATCTGGATTTGTTGCATTTTCATGTCCTGACTCTGCAACTTGGGCTGTAAGTATAATAATGCTGTTGACTATCCTTAGGTAATCGACGAGGAACTTTAATGCTCATATTCAAAATCTGTTGATTCTTGTAGCTTTCTGAGATGAATGGTAAAATGGTTGCTGGAAAGCCTCTCTATGTCGCCCATGCACAGAGAAAAGAAGAGAGAAGAGCAAAGTTACAGGTAATACCATGTAACAATTGGCAATTAACTATATGGTTTATAATTACATTGTGGTAAAAGAGAAATTCCTGCATCAAGTACATCTTTAATTGTAGCTATTTTGGGTACTTCCACGTCTCTCTGCTTTTAGTTAATATTACACATACACTTCATTTGGTAGCAAAATTCCCCCTATGTTCGTAGATTAGCAAAGACCATATGTCCCTTATAATGTCATTGTTATGAATTGTGAATGTGAAGCGTAGTATAACATGATACTGAATACCAGTTACTGTTTATAAATAGATCAAATTACTGACCACAAGAAAAATTTAGGACTCGTAGATCAAATTCATAGGTCCCACTAACAGATATACCTTGTTTTATGTTATAAATACTGTTGCTCCATTCATGGAATTGGAAGCTATGGAATTGTCTAGTTGAGAATAATCACGCCTCTATCTTGTTCTATTAGTTAGTACATCAGTTTTCACTTAGAATAAGGGAAAAAAATATATAGGCATCTTGTTTAACAATTGTAGATATTTTAGCTGCGATTTCTTGAAATTACAGGAATGTAGGTAGAGGAGGAAAGGAGATATAAAGGAGCCTATTAGCAACATTCCCTGTGTTGAACAAAAGACAAAACACCGACCTTCATTTATATTAACAATTAATTCTTAATCCTATTAAATAAGGAAAAAAATCATGAATTATTATTATAAGTTACCGAAATTCTCCAAAGAGATTACCTTAAATACACTGGAAATATTCTAAGATTCAATGGTGTTATGAGATATTATCTGAATGTTGACATGAATGATTAACATACATGAGAAGGTTCTTAACTTAATCCTGTGTGTACTGATGAGATTTTTCTTCTTTTTTATTTGGCATATTATTTACTTATTTCATACAGGAACAATTTTCGCAAACAAGACCTGTTGGAACAATTGGACCTCGAATGCCACTGTACCAACCTCTGGTGGCTCCTGGGATGGGACCACCGGCACCGGGGGCTCCTGGGATTGGACCACTAGCACTGGGGGCTCCTGGGATGGGACCACCGCCACCGTTTTTCTATCGGCGACCACCTGTAGCTCCAGCCTTTGTACCTCAGGTAAGAAGTTATTATCTTTATTCTTCAATTTTATGTTCAATGATATCGTGTTATTAGAAGATCTCTGTTTTGGTGAATAAAATTTAAACTTCTATATTATCGCGCCACGTTTTCATTTAGTTTTAGGGTAACTACTGTTTCTAGTACCCCACTTATCTAACTACTTGTTAATATAATACCTCAGAATTAGGTCTTGTATCCTGTTCCTCTATCGTCTGTTACTTTTCTTTGTTGCATGTTAGATGAATATTTGATCTTCATATATTGAATTGATCTTTAAGTAATCACTCATCCAACAACAAATACAGGCTGGATTTGGTTACCAGCAGCAATTTGTTCCCGGAATGAGACCAGGTGGTGCTCCTCCGCAAAGCTTGTTTGTTCCAGGGGCTCAACAAGGTCAACAGGGACAGCTCCCAAGTGAACAACGAGGAGCAGGGCCTACGCAACAACTCCAGCAACCAATGCCATCGATGCAGCCAATGCAAATGGGACATGTCTATGCATGTACTAATGTACCTGTTTTTCAGCAAATGCCCATTCAGACCCTTTCTACAGCCCTTGCAAGTGCTTCTCCTGAACAACAGAGGATAGTAAGACCTGTTTCTGGATCACATTTCAATGCATTTAAGTTGAGCTCTCGTTGTTTTATGTGCATTAGGAAATTGTTATACTGACCCTCATGTGAATGTCATGTGAATGGTTTGCTAGATGCTTGGTGAAACTTTGTACCCGCTTGTAGATAAACTGGAGCATAATGCAGCAACAAAGATTACGGGTATGATTTTGCAGATGGACCAAGCTGAAGTGTTACATCTGATTGAATCACCAGATGATCTTAAGGATAAAGTTGCCGAGGCCATGAATTTGTTGAGAGATATTGAACTGCAGCCATCAAACAACCCAGTCGATCACCTGGCTTTTCTATCTATCTCTGAATGACAGTTTCAATCCTTAAGAGTTTTGTGTTTCTGGCTTTTTGTAGTATTAGCAATACTACTAGGATTAACTTACTGATTTGCAGTTTTTGTTTTGTTTTCTCTTCAAAATATTTTGGTGGCTTGATATGACCGCGTCCGAACCACTTTTTTTTTTTTCTTCAAAAACAAAGAGAGAAAAGAGTATGCTTTAGCTTTATACTGCTTTCCATTGTTACTTTCAATTCCCATGTTTCGCTTATTAATGCTTAATGGCAAAAAATAACAAAAAAGGAGAAAATAAGGGAAGATAAATAGCAAAATTAATACCAGGGAGTCCTTGAAGCCTCAGAGCTCTCTTTCAATCCTTTAAATCTGGGAACGACCTCCTGTAAGGATTAAAGGGATTGGTGCCCGTCATGCGTTCCCTCTCAACCAAGACCATTGTGAGAAACACCAATCCACCCGTCGTCATCCAGAACCCAAAAGCATAAGGTGGTACGTAGAAGCTTTTCTATGTTCAGTGTGAGAGCTTGATAATATTTCTATTCTTTAGAGGACCGACCAAAGTAGCAAATTTTTGCCCGCCATGGAAAATCCAGATTTTGGGAGTGCATTTTCTCTGTCAAAGAATACCAGGGTTACTCACTCAAATACGAAGGATAGATGACGAAAAGTTAAGTAAATTACACCTAAGTATACCCAACTATCAAAATTTATTGCCTTTTGGCTTAAAAATTGCAGCTGCAACTGGAACTACACTCATATTATAATGGTGTATCACGATACAGCCTGCTCATACAAGTGTTATCTGATGATATCCAGTTTAATATTTAATAGGAAAGGAAAGGCTAGATTGCAGTTATAATAATTACAAATACTAAATTTTAAAAAGTAAAAATATGTGATGACCTGTTATAACCAGTTATTTTAAGCCCGGGCCCATGTGAGGAAGTTTGCTGCATTGATACTCATTAATAATAAAATTGTATCTAAGTTGCAGTTTTATCTAACATGGTCCTTGTGTGAAGTTCTTCACCGTGAGGAGGGTTAATATCTATGTTGGCTTTATACATATTATAGTATTGAACGGTAAGGATGAACATGGCGTCAATTTTCGGTGACACCAATGGGTACCGACGATAGCGTTTTTTGTTACTTGTGGGGAAGAAGGTTGGCGCTAGATATGAATCTATGAATGTAATATATGATATGAATTGTGACTAAGTTTAATTGTGAGAAGGTGTAAGGGGGTCACGGTGGGGACCGAAGTACGAAGTGCGTGTAGCAACAACCTCTGAACATGAAATTAATGTATAGATTGTAACGTCCCAGTACACATGAATTCACGTTGAATTCAGTCCCTTACCAGAGAGTTAGCCATAGCGATGGGCGAGGGTCTTCAGCCTCATTTTTCAAGAAACTTTCTATTAAGTAACAAATTCTCAACCTAGAGCTAACCAGCTTACGTCGACAGCTACGTTTGGACCCGAAACGATTAATTAACAATAAATCAATCGCTGATGATACTTCAACTAACTCCAATCTCTCCTGTAAACCACGACCATGTATTAAAATTTTTTAAATATTTTTAATTTTTATTTATGTCACCGCACATATATTAAAAATTATTTATTTATTTATTTATATAGAGCAACCATGACATGTCCCGAAACAGAATTGAGTTCTGGAGTTTGAGTGACTATCTGGAAGATGAGTACCTTTGCCGTTCAACGTGTTTCCGAATGCTTCATCAAGCCGCAACACCCCACCAAAGAGTCAAATCAAATATGTTATTTAACACCTTGGGATCTGGCTGCTTTGTCAATAAGCTATATCCAGCATGGCCTGCTCTTCAAGAAGCCCACGAATGTTGCTGATAACCAAGATTCCATCCAAAATCTGTTGGACAAACTCAAACACTCACTTTCTCAGACACTCTTCCATTTCTATCCTTTGGTTGGACGCCTTGTCACCCAGAAAACCCAAGATCCTCCCTCTTATGTTGTATTTGTTGATTGTAGCAACAGTGATGGAGCCAAATTCATCTATGCAACTGTAGATCTGACCATATCTGACATCCTATCCTCCGTTTATGTTCCACCCATTGTCCAATCATTATTTGATCACCACAAAGCAATTAACCATGACGGTCATGCCATGCCCTTGTTGTCCATCCAAGTCACTGAGCTAGTGGACGGTGTTTTCATAGGTTGTTCCATGAACCATGCTGTTGCGGATGGCACTTCTTTTTGGAATTTCTTTAATACGTGGTCTGAGATCTTTCAAGCTCAAGCTCAAGGGCATGAATGCGACTTTCCGATTTCACACCAACCCGTTATCAAACGCTGGTTTCCAGAGGGTTGTGATCCATTAATCAATCTTCCCTTCAAACATCACGACGAGTTTATTAGAAGAGAAGAACCACTCTTGGTGAGAGAGAGAATATTCCACATTTCAGCAGAGTCAATTGCGAAACTGAAAGCAAAGGCCAACTCAGAGTCCAATACCACCCAAATCTCTTCGTTCCAATCATTATCAGCACTTGTTTGGAGATCCATAACTCGTGCGCGCGGACTGCCGCATGAGAAGAGAACATCTTGCAAGTTTGCTATAAACAATCGAACAAGGATGGAACCACCACTGTCTCCGGAATACTTTGGAAACGCAATTGATGGGGTGGGTGCAGAAACGACTGCAGGGGAATTGCTTGAGAATAATCTAGGCTGGGCAGCATGGAAGTTGCACTTGGCTGTTGCAAACTATAACAATACAGTTGCGCAGCAAAAGGTCGAACAGTGGCTGCAGCGTCCTATGATATATCAACTTGGTTGGTCATTTTACTCGTCTAGTGTGACCATGGGTAACTCGCCCAGGTTCAATGTGTATGGGATTGAATTTGGAACTGGGAAAGCAGTGGCCGTTAGAAATGGACATGCCATCAAATTTGATGGGTATGTGTCATCGTACCCTGGTCGTGAAGGAGGGGGAAGCGTGGATTTGGAAGTGTGTCTTTTCCCAGAAAACATGACTGCCCTGGAATCGGACGAGGAGTGGATGAATGCAGTTTCAGTGTCCAATCCCTTGTCCTAAGTTGGTAACGTGTAGTGGATTTGCCTGGAGACCGTATAAATTCACTTTTACTTTGTATTGTTGCATTATGATTGAAGGTTTTTTATCAGCTCTTCCTTAAAAAATTAATAAGCTACTAATTAACTAACCATTAAAAAGGCTCATGGTCAAGCTAAAAGCTGAGTTTAAAATTATTTAACAGACCCTATTTCTATTTGTTTAGTGAAGTAAAATTTTCTTTAGTATTAGGAGTAATGATATTCTAACACCCAATTTTAGTATGTATACCAGTTGTATAGGGTTAAAATAGCATTACTTCAAGTATTTATACTAGTATAAAAGCACTACACTTACTATCCAGCAATGCCAATGCTTTTGAACTTAGTTTAGTAACTCTTGTTTATGTTAACGAATTTTAACTTGAGTCTCTTTTTTCACGTCCCTTAGGTACTGCTTGATGTTCTGAGAAGAGAAAAAGAGCAAGAATAGGAAGGGTGGAATTCTACTACGTCAATATCTTTCAGGTGGCAAACGACTGTAATTCCTGTTGCATCTTTTTAGATATATTTATCATATTGTAGAATAACGGAGAGATGGGACTACCCCTTGAGCCATAAGAGAGTGTACCTTGATCTGAGTTCCTTGGCAATTAATGCATACTGTGTTTTTTTATGGGCAAAAGAATATATATTAATGAAGAAAGAATACTCACCTAAATACGAAGGATAGATAACTAAAAGTACACCTAAAGATACATATCCAACTATATAAAATTTAATATCGTTGAGCTAAAGGTTGCAGAAAACAACAACTGAAACTTCACTCATATTCTAATGTTATACCATGATACAGCCTGCTAATACAAAGTTGTTATTTGATATCCAGTTTAATTTTTTATACGAAACGAAAGGCTAGATTGCAGTTATAATAATTATAAATACTAAATTGTAAAAAGTAAAAATATTTAATGACCTGTTATAACTAGACATTTTAAGCCTGGTCCATGGGAGTAAGTTTGTTTTATTGATACTCATGAATAATAAAATTGCATCCAAGTTTAGTAATTTTATTAACATGGTCCTTGTCTGAGGTTCTTCACATTAGGAAGGTTAATATCTATCGTTGAATTTATACATATTATAATGAATGGTTTATATATTAGTATTTTAACAATTGCAATTTAATTGTTTTCTTTTCTGGATGCACCGCAGTGCTTTTTAGATGCCTTTTCCCTGCACACTCTCCTACTCAGAACCAGCATTGTTCGTCCTTCAAATCAAATCCTCCTCTTTCTAATTCCAACAAAGAGAGGGAATCATTTTGTTCAACCAAAGTCTGTGGAACCATTACCTATGGAAACTTTTTTTTTTTTTTATAGCCATAAACATTGCCAATGTTGATGGATGTGGAATAGACGAAAGCTTCAATATATTTTATATGAAAGTAATGTTCTTCAAAATTAGATGCGGAACAAAATGCTTCTCAGAGCGAAAGACGCTCCACCACCAACAATTCAAAGAATCGAAGATCCAACAGGTCTACAAGGTTCACTAGGATTTAATCCTTGCAGGTGTAGTTGCAGAAAATATGTGTTGATATACGCAACAAAATATGGTTGAAAGTTGGATTGATATTCTGATCAAGTCGATGAATATCTTCGGACTCCGAAGGGTATTCTATAGTCTCTCTACCTGCTCTACGAATAAAAATTATTTTTAAGGACTAACTTGCAACAAAACTCTTCACTTTCACACATGAGAAAGTTTGAACTTCCTCGTATTAAAATCCACCAAGTTCAGCACGGTGTGTTAATGAATATGTTCGTGCATACGTCTGTTCGTTCATCCAAGGAAACATCTAAAAGAACAAAATTTAACTAAGTACAGAATTATAAACAAAATAAAATTAAAAGTGCTAGAATTTAATTTTATAAATGAACAGAACTAAGAAACTAATCTAGGAATAAAAATTAAAATAATTACAACATTTAAATATCTTAATTACTAGAAGTGGGTCTAAAAATAATTTAAAGGTAGGTTGAGTTTGAAATCTCTTATCTCTTTCCCTTTGTATATAAATATATTTATAACTTAAAATATAATTTCATCTAATGACTAATGGTCAAATTTTTTAAAATATCCAACTTCAATTCCTTGGTAATTAGTTTTAAAATAAAATTAGTATCCTAATTTCTTAGATACAACAAAAAACATTCAGCATTAAGAATTAAACTCATTGACTACATCATCATAAATTTTTATTTTTAGATAATTTATAATGAGCAAATTAATCTCAGTTAAAGAAAGCTTACTACTTTTCAGTAATAAACTTTTTTTCATCAACTTCATTCAAATTTACAGTAATAAACAAAGAAGCATTAAATTCAGAATCAAAATGTTATATTAAAACTTATATCTTGAGCTATATCTAGTGTTAGTTTATTATAAAAGGTAAAGACATAAGTTCATCTTCACTCAACCTAAAGATATTTAGCTAGACATAATAAAAATAAATAATATAAAATTAAAATATATTACAAAAACAAAATTCATGTTCATAGAAACGCTTACAGAAATGAGAGAATTATTGTTTCATTACATAAACTAGAGAAAATAAAAAGGAAATGCAAGTTCTCATAAAAATCCTCTATAAAATACGTTAAAAAAATTACCCTAATTGCCATTTCTATGTAAACCGTACAAAAATCTAAATTTTTGTGCTTTGGAATCGTAAAAAATAGAAAAGTAAAAGATATTTCTTTTTAAAACTTTTTTACTTTTATATGCTCAGTGAGCATCGTATTCTCATAATAAAAAATTCGTATTCCCACAATTGAGTTCTACACCACTTAACTTCTACTTTATAGTCCATTTACCAATTTTCTTCTTCTAATTTCTTTAAAATTCAAACTCCAACAATTAAAATATACACGATTTCTTAATTTTTTCAGCAATACAATATTTCATTAAATTTTGTGATTAATTATATTAACTTATAATTTAAATTTAATTAAATATAAAAAATCTTTAATTTTTTAGTTGAATTAGTTACTCATCCTCCACCAAAAGTAGAAATTAAAAATTGGGCCCATATACCGGTACAGATGATGGATTTTCCCCTGGGTTCGCTAAAGTTTTAAAATTTCATTCAGAGATTTTAGCCCGAGCTACTTGAGTAGAGGCACGCCGTGAGCGAAAGAGGAAAATATCTAGATATTTTATTACAAGGGTACGGCAGCGGCGACAACAGGAAAATATCTAGATATTTTATTAATATTGGTATTCGTTCCTTAAAATATTAGTTTATTTATATTTTTAAAATTCCACTGTAATATTTTTTTTAAGCAATTGTTGCCTTCAGAGGTTAAACGGTCCAAAATCTAATGAGGGACGGAATGTAATATTGCAACTTTTAATTTCTTCTCCAAGCAACGAATGGTACCACGGGAAACAACTTTAACGGTGAAACAAATTTTAGGAACGGTTGCATATTCCGGTTATGCAACGCCGTTAACGATGCTCTTAGTTTTGTGAGAAGAAAAGACAGAGTGCTGGCAAACACAAAGTCGCAAACAACACAGAGCTGATTAAGGTAAGCTCCTCCTTTTTGCATACGCGGTGCTCTTGCTTATTAATGTTACTGCGAGGACAAATGCAGTTTGCAGTTTAATTATAAATGCCTCAATACTTGATACTACCTTCTGGTGAAGTCCTAAGATATCAGCATTTTTTATCATTGCTGTATTTCACATGCATAACCACTTCCAAGAGTGAATGATGAGTAGCCGTGCCTTTCGTCGCGTTTCAGAATGCTTCGTCAAGCCACATCGTCCCACCGAAGAGTCAAACCAAATGTGCTATTTAACACCATGGGATATTGCTATGTTGTCTGTACACTACATCCAGAAGGGCCTCCTCTTTAAGAAGCCCACACCACTTGTTAATCATCAAGTTTTCATTCAGAATTTTTTAGACAAGCTCAAGCACTCGCTTTCTCAAACCCTCTTCCATTTCTATCCTTTGTCTGGACGCCTTGTCACCCACAAAACCCATGACCCTCACTCTTATTCCATTTTCGTTGATTGTACTAATAGTGATGGAGCCAAATTCATCTATGCTACTTTAGATTTGAACATTTCTGACATTCTCTCCCCCGTTGATGTCCCACCCATTGTTCAATCATTCTTTGATCACCACAAAGCAATTAACCATGATGGTCACACCATGCCCTTGTTATCCATTCAAGTAACCGAATTATTGGATGGTGTTTTCATAGGCTGTTCCATGAACCATGTTATTGCCGATGGCACTGCTTTTTGGAATTTTTTTAACACATGGTCTGAGATCTTTAATGCTCAAGCTAAAGGGCATGAATATGATGTTCCAATTTCACACCAACCCATTCTCAAACGCTGGTTTCCAGACGGTTGCAATCCATTGATCAATCTTCCATTTAAACATCGTGAGGAATTTATTAGCATATTTGAAGCACCCAAGCTGAGAGAGAGAATATTCCACTTTTCAGCAGAGTCTATTGCAAAACTGAAAGCAAAAGCCAACTCCGAGTCCAATACCACCAAAATCTCTTCGTTCCAATCCTTATCAGCACTTGTTTGGAGATCCATAACTCGTGCACGTCGCGTGCCACATGATGAGAGAACAAGGTGCAAGTTGTTCACAAACAACCGAACAAGAATGGAACCCCCTTTGGCACAAGAGTACTTTGGAAACTCACTTAATACAGTTAGTGGAGATGCTACGGCAAGAGAATTGCTCGAGAATGATCTGGGATGGGCAGCTTGGAAGTTGCACCTTGCTGTTACAAACCATAGCCACAAAGCAGTGATGCAGTGGCTCAAAGAGTGGTTACAATCTCCTTTGGTATATCGGTTTGATCGGTTCTTTGATCCCTTCTGTGTGATGATGGCTAGTTCACCGAGGTTCAACATGTATGGGAATGAATTCGGAATGGGAAAAGCGGTAGCTGTTAGGTGTGGGTGTGCCAACAGATCTGATGGGGAAGTTACATCATACCCTGGCCATGAAGGGGGAGGAAGCATCGATTTGGAAGTGTGTCTTTCACCAGATGCAATGAGCGCATTGGAATTGGACGAAGAGTTCATGAATGCAGTTTGCAACTAGGCAACACATATTGTAAGTTGAAGTCCATTAAGGTAGCTTCCAACTTAATTTTAATGTTTTATTAATAATTTGTGCAAGTGATAAATAGCTTCAAGTTTTAATCCTTGTTTGCTTTTGACGTGTGCTTTTCTACAAACATAACTTATTCTATAAAATAAAATAGAGCTTGTAGTAACATAAATTAAAATAAACGTGGATAAACATCGATATTGGAATTTAAGTTGAGAAATGAGAATAAAAATATCACAGTATAATATTACAGTTCGAAAAAAATTAACTATCTTTATCAGTTTGTAAATTTAATTAAATGTGCTTTTAAAAATTATCACAGAGTAGTTATTTATCTTTAAAAAAATTGAAAGGGATTTATTTTTTTGGTAAACAGGGTTAGCCGAGCTACTGAAAGCTAAATAAGAGTATTCCCACAAGATCAGGTGTTAGACGAGTCATGTAAATAAATGGAATACAAGCAAAATCTAACATGGGAATATCCCTATCCATATCAAGGCCAAATTTAACGAAGGAGTTTGCGACTCCATTTCCTTAACGAATGGTGTAATACTATACAACATCATTGCGTTGCCTAACCATGTCTTATACTTATTTTCTTTTTATCATTTTTTTTTTCCTTTTCTATTTATTATCCGTCATAATTTTTATTTTTAATTCTATTTTCCTTTTTTCATCTCTTTTCCTTTGCCTAATTTATATTCTAAAATGAGATGTAAATATTTGGGTCATTTTTTTTATATGGGATTTTTTTTACTTAATTACCATAATATAGACTTTAGAAAAAAATTACATAAATATGGAAAATTTTAAAAATTGCCAGTGGCGATTTTTGAATGTAAGAAAAAGTAATTTTATATGATGGTAAAAATTGTCACTGGCGAGTTTTCAAAAATTTTTGAAAGTAAAAATCGTTTATGGCGATTTTTAAGAAGTAAAATCGTCACTGGTGTTTTTTAAAATCTCGTTCTATATATAGTCATTGCAATTTGTAATAAATTGCATCGTAACCCTATTCTCTCCACTCTCTAAAGCTTTTCTATTGCATTTCTGCTGTTTGTATTTTTTTGTTTGTCAAATTTGACTATTCTTTTATAGTTGAAGAAAGAAATGAGTACAAATATAATAGCGTACTTTAATAGTGAAATTATTACAAACACATGTGAAGTTATGAGATTTATATGTGAGAAGCCAATTTGTATGCATATTTTTTATAATATATCATATGAAGCACTAAAATATTTGCTTTGTCAATATATTGAAGTGGAGACTCTAAAAATAGTAGAGTATAATGTATAGGTGTCTGATTTCTATTTTTGGAGGTTTCATGTAATACTAAGGAGTTGCAATAATAACCGACGAAGATATTCAACAAATACATAATGAGCGTCGGGTCCCAACTCCTACCATTGAGCTGTATATTGTTTTTAAACAAATTACAGCTAATACACGTGCAGAAGGTAGCGATGAGGAAGATGAAGCCTATGTGAGCATCGTTCTCAATAGAGAGATTGAATAGGATCAAAACAGCACTGAAAGTGATGACCCTGACTTTGATGAAGACGGTGATGATGAGGAATCAGAAGATGAGGGAGTTGATGAAGACTCCTATTTATCAAGTCCAATGATTGGCAAACATCTGTTTGAGGAGCCGTCATTCGTGCGTGCGTTAGATCTTACAAGTATGCAAACACCTAAATTTCCAGAATATGCTAACTTAGGTATATGATGTTTGAAATATTTTAATTATACTCTTATCATTTTATGTTTAATTTAATGAATTAGTTTTTTTATTAAAATTTGTGTTTGATAGGTAATTCTGAGGTAGTAGGAGAATTGTGTGTTGGAATGCAATTTAATGACAGAGAAAATGTTATACGAACAATTAAACATTACAGTATATCAAAAAGAGTGAACTACAAAGTATTTGAGTCTGAACCAAATACATTTTACTGTAAATGTGTAAGCTATGACATAGATTGTGATTGACTTGTTCGGGCTAGCTTGAGGAAAAACAAATGTTTTTGGGAAATCAGGAAGTATAATAGGTCACACACTTGTATGAGGGCTAAGATTTCGTAGGATCATAGTAAGTTGGATGCAGACATAATTGCAGAATGTATTAAGCCAATGGTAGAATCTGACCCTTCTTTTAAGATCAAACTTGTGATTAATGAAGTCTAAGCTCAATTTGGATATATGACAACATATAGAAAAGCATGGATGGCAAAGCAAAAAGCAATTGAAAAAGTGTATGGTGAGTGGGAAGCCTCGTATGAAGCCCTGCCGCAATGGTCTGTAGCGATGTGTGACGCTGTTCGTGGGTCAATTGTTCAATTGGATGCTGTTAAAGCTTATCGCAATGATGAGTTGGTTCATGATGTTCAAATATTACGTTGTATTTTTTGGAGTTTTGCTCCTTGCATTCGGGCATTCAGACATTGCAAACCACTTGTGCAGATTGATGGGACACATTTATATGAAAAATACAAGGGGACTTTATTGGTAGTTGTTGCACAAGACAGCAATCAGAATATTTTGCCAATTGGCTTTGCTATTATTGAAGGAGAAACTGCAGATGGTTGGCATTTTTTCCTTGAGAATTTACGCAAACATGTCGTGACGCAGGATAGTGTTGGTATTATTTTTGATCGGCACGAGTCAATTAATGCAGCAATAAGACGAAGTAACAGACAATGGGAACCTCCAAAGGCATTTTACATGTATTGTATCAGGCATATTGCTGCTAATTTCTTGCGACGATTTAAGACACCTTACTTGCATAAACTTGTCGTCCGCATGGGTAATTGACATTATTCTTCTGTCAATAATATTTACATTGAATTATAAATTTTATATGTTGTTGACATATTTATATTAATGAGTTTGTGGTATGCAGGTTATTCAAGAATTGAATCAGAATTTAATATTCATTATGAGCGGTTGAGACAACGTGGAGAAGTATATACAGACTGGCTTAATGAAATTTCACGAGAGAAGTGGGTTATTGCATATGACAGTGGGCATCGATAGGGTCACGTGACCACTAATCTTATTGAGTGCATTAATTCAGTATTAAAGAGCGTTCGTAATCTTCCAATAACAGCACTGGTTAGAGCAACTTACTTTCGATTGGCTGAGTTATTTGCACGTAAAGGTTGTGAGGCATATGCGCGAAAAAAGGCTGGACATATTTTTTTTGATGCTATGACGACTCGACTTCAATCAAATAAGCAAGCATCTAGAAACCTTTGTGTTACTGTATTTGATAGGCAAAATGAGACTTTTCTTGTTCAAGATGTAAACAACAATCAAGAATATAAAGTCCAACTCAGGCAAAGGTATTGTGATTGTGGTGACATCCAGACTGATAGATATCCATGTCGTCATGTCATTGCTGTTTGCTCTAGTCAGAACATTGATTGACGTTGTTATGTCGAAGATGTTTACAAGATAAATGAGTTGTGCAAAGTATATAAGAAGGAGTTTGGAGTCATTGGAAATGAAATTACGTGGCGGATATATAGAGGTCCAAAACTTATTCCTAACCCAAATTTAAAGCACATAATAAGAGGTCGTCCAAAATCAACACGTTTTCTGAATGGAATGGATAGGCGTGAGATGAGAAGAACCCGACGTTGCACTCTTTGCCGAGGTGAAAGTTATAGTAGAAGAACATGTCCAAATGATCCTGGGTCAAGTTTGCAAGGTTGATGTTGTTGTTTTATGTAGTTTTAATTTATGTTGTTGTTGTTGTTGATGATTAAGTTGTTATCGTCATGTAAGATGAAGTAGTATTGTTTAATCAGTATTAAGGGTCATATGCAATATTTGTTATATTTTGAAAGAGTATCTTTATCAGAGATGATAAATCATATAATATTTAACTAACAAACAAAGCTTTCCTTATTAAATATTTTACTGACAAACAAAGTTGCATAATATAAATAACATTTCATGCTTAAACATAAAGACAATAATGAAAACATAAATTAAACATTAACATTAAACAAACATCATTTTCTCTTTTTCTTCTTGATTAATGAGGGGCTATATCTATCAGGGGCATGGGTGAAGGGACGTAACATGCGCGAAAAAAATTCCCTTCGTCTTCCTTCTGTAGGACCGTCATCCCCAACACCCTGATCATCTGTGACATCGTGTGTAACTCTCTCATCAACTGTAGGTTCTGCTTGTACCACATTTTCAGATGTATTTATACATATGTTGTGCTGTTGTGTCATCTCCCAAGACATGATTGGCACAGAATATTGTTCACCTAATGAAAGTGTTTGCTGAGAAGTACCACCACACTTTGTTGTCACAAGTTCTGATCGATAAACATCTTCATCATCATAATTCCCTTCATCCACAATTGCGCTCTCATTAAGGTCAAAGTTGCATGCAGGAATGTCAAGAGAAGGTCTGGCATCCTCAAATAGAAAGTCATATGTAGAAAGTAACCCACGAGATGTCTCACTTTCACTACTGCAATCAATTGATCTCCTTCGACGTGATTCATTGCTTGTTGACCCACGACGATTATCTCTTCTATCGACAGACATTCGTGAAGATTGTTGTTGTGGGGGTTCTTCATCCCATTCAAATGGCTGCCATTGGTTTGTGTGTGGTGACCAATAAAACTCCTCATTTGGTTGAACTGACGGTGGTGGAATCCCCTGTTGATGCTCAGACAGTGGCGAGGACATAAGCTCTTCATCCACCAAAAATTGTTGTTGCTGGGGTGGTGGCTGTTCCATTTGTGGAGACAACCATAACCAATTCATTGCATACAATGTGTACCAATTCCAATACTCATTAGACTGGTAATACTAGTCAATTGCCATTCCTTGTAATATATGCTGATGTCGTTGTTCCCACATCATCACTCAATCATCATGTATCAACCTCCAGTTCTTTGGTTCTCTTAATCCACGTAAATCTTTGTTGTGAACTCCGTCAAGACTTTGGGGCGGCAGAGGAATAGGTTAAGCAAATCCATATTGCCGCATCACACGGTCAGTTGCATGCCACTCTACAACCTCAAAGCATATTAATAGACTTACAATTGACCACAATAAACGTTCTCCTCTCAAATCATGTGGAACAATGGCATCAATCGCTTCATCCTCATATGGTCGCCACATGAACTGCATTTTCAAAAATAATTATTCATAAATAATTTCAAACATGTATAAAAATAGTTAAGAAATGTATAAATATATTAACAGGTACCTCATGTAGTGCCATTTTATCTAATGCTAGTCTAACATTTATTAGATCCTTATATGGAGTCTTGGTTGGATATCGAAGACGTCTCCATCTGAGTATAAGTGGAAATACTACTGGTTCACCAGGTATTGGAGCCAACCACGGGAGCCTGTGCCATGCCCATACCTGCAATAATATTATGCATCCACAAATTTCTTTGGCATCATGTCGTGAACCACGATCCAAACCTCTATACAAAAAAGCAAGGCATGCTGAACCCCAACTATACATTCCAATTTCATGGACATTTACCAACAATTGTAAGAATTTTCCATGTACCAGGGAGTTGCTCTTGTTTGGCATTAAAACATGTCCCAACAAAGAAAGTACATATCTTCGAGCATGTTGAGCTATCCTAATGTCTGAATTAGTAGGAAGCCAACTAGGGTGTTGTGTGATCCACTTTAATCTTATTTCAAAACCTTCAACATCATTTGATTCGGGCTGACTTTCGAGTAACTGTTCACACATATTCTGCAATGCCAAAATATTTGGATTAGTAGAACTAGTAATTGCTATACCATTGCATCGCAGTCCAAGCAACATAACATCTTCTAATGTTATTGTGCATTCTCCACAAGGAAGATAAAATGTATGTGTTTCTGGTCTCCAATGTTCAACAAGTGCATTTATAAGGTCACCGTTTATATGCATTTGACATAATTTAAAAATAGTAATTTATCCATAATCTATGAATTAAATATATATCAAAATATAAAAAAACTAATTATAAAAAAATGATATGTTTCTACTTAATTATACCCACACATAATATTATTATTATTTTAATATAAATTGTGCTTTACTTATTTTTACATCTATTATTATTATTATTATTATTATTTTAATACTATACAATGGCTAATATTAACACTTAGTATGAATAATTTATTATATATTTTTCAATGATAATAATTTTTATTAAAAGTAAATAATATAATAAAATTATCCAATACTAAAATTTTATAAATTTTATTATGTTTTTACTTAAACTAAAATAATTATCTTTATTTTATACAAACTTAAAATAAATTGCATTAATTAAAAAATAAATAACTCAAATAAAATTAATAAAAAAATTTATTATACTACATTGCATGTATTAAAAAATAAATATTTATTTACATTTTGAGTACGAATATGTTGTGAAATATGTTTGTACGATTCCATAGTCACATCTTGAACCATTTTATTCCCCTCTTTGATATTGTTCTTCTGTAAGATCCTTCCTCCTTGGCGATTTTCGTATTTCTCTTTCTCATTTGCGCATACAGCATGGTGCAATTCTTATTTATAAGCATAGTTTCAATTCAATTCGCAACATTTCAATACGTTATTGTGCTAGTAAAAATCACCACTCACGATTTTTCAGTTGCAAGACAATGTATTATTGTGCTAGTAAAAGTCGCCACTCACGATTTTACTGATTTTTCATAGTATCTGTACCTAATTAAATACGCGTGCTTGTTTGTATTTTTGCCTGACAAATAAGTCAAAATTAAAGATTGAAAAGTTAAAATTGATAGCTGTCAGACATTGCAAAAATTGTTTCTGACAATTTTTCAAATACCACACATTCATAACTATACAAAAAAAGTCCATATTCCGGTCAATATATCATAAAAACGCCATATTAAAATTAAATTCCCTAAATATTTTTGTTTACTAATTTAGTATAATTTGTTAATTAATTGTAGAGAATAAAAAAAGCAGAACTTTTCAGAAGTTCACGTGAGGTAAAAACATTTAGGCAGTCTATTAAGGCGGCTCGTGGACCTTTGGGGATTGATTATTATAAGCATTTTCTTATAGGACTTGTAAGCAGTGTTTTGTTACGATAGATGTGACATATCAAATGGTAAAATTAAATAGAATACTGAATAATGCAAATAACATATCCTTTTAACATAATTTTTTAACACGTTTTTTATTATTAATTAAAATATTAAAATTTATTAAAAATTAATGTGAGTTTTATTTTTTATTTTTAAATTAATATTTTTAAATCTTTAATTTTTATTAAATTTTAGTTAATAATAAAAAGTGAATCGTTAACCTTGGTCGTTATTGATTATCCACCGCTATTTTCAGAGATGCATTTGTAATTTTATAGCTTTGAGGAGTAATGTAGCTTTGCATGTTTGCAAGAAACGTCGTTGACGGTGTCAACCATTTTTTACCAAACCAATAAGATATTCTGACTTGGTGAGACTATGGATAGACACAGCCAACACGACTTCATATATTAATGAAATATTATAAAGTATATAAATATACTAATAAATTTGTAATAATATTACTCCATATTAATTACTAATGTCGAATTACGTTCCCACCTTTAAAACACTCCATATTAATTACTAATGATTTAATGGACTATGATTAAGAATTAGGAGTTTTGTATTTTTCTATTAGAGACAATTCTGTTTGAGTATAATTAGGGGTTAAGTTTGTCCACATAAAAATTATTCTTATAGACATTTTTTTGTAATATAAATTCTGAGTTTTGCATTGAAAAATAGTTTTAAGTTATTATTTGTGTTATTGTGTATATTTTTTATGTCATCAGTTCGTTATATATTATCAATAAAAAATTAAATAACGGGGATTAGATTTAAATTCCTTAAAATAACGACGCAAAAGATGTTGAAGGCTGCTTCGAGGTGTTCAAAACGAATATATACACTGCAACAACAAAAATTTGAGAATTGTTATGATAAACGATTATTTTGTCTTCTGAGTGATCGTATTACCTCAGGTATATGTCGTTACGAGACTAATCCCTAAATTAGAAATACTGATTAACTAAAATGTTTTCTTTCCGGAGTGGTCATTCTAAATTTTCAAATTTTATACTTGAATCTTTAATAGAAAATATAATAAGTTTTATTTAATATAAAAATAATCTTGTCAAATTTAGTTACTACATAATAGATTCACTAAAATTAAATTAATTTGATTCATTTCAGTTTAATTATTCTAACTGATACTTTTATTTGGTTGGTTCTAATAATTTTATACGCTCAGACTTCACAAATTATTAAAAATTTTAATTAAAACATTTTTTTATCTATTCATATTTTAATATATTTAATTTCACTTTTAATAAAAATACTATTTAAATTTATTTTTAAGGGATAGTGCTGTTTTGAAATCACTCAAAGGATTCGAATAATTTATACCACATAATAGGTTGGTTGAAACATCATTACCGTTCGCTTAAAGGGGCTGCTGGGAGTTTATGACTTAGTCTATATTAAATTTAAAATAGGTTAAAGTTATTTATTAAATAGATTCGGCTAATATTTTTAAAATTTTATATAATAAAAAAATTAGATTTTAAACTATTGAATATACATTTTTTAAAATTTTAATGGGTTGATTTATTCAAATATAAATAAGATATATTATTTTATTTAAAGACTTAAATTTATAGTTTATACATTTAAAAGTCTATTGACAAATATTTTAATTTATTTGAAAGATACTACATAACAAACGAAGTCGTTAAATAAATTTATAAATTACACTAAGTTAGATTTTTTAAAAGATATAATCAAATACTAAAAATTGGCTCATATTAAATAAATTTAAGTTAATAATACATTTTAAATTTAAGAGTAAAATTAGACTCTAACTTTGTAAAACCTATCACGATCTAATCAATTTTCATATAGTACACAAGCAACTTTAAAATGTAAGCGAAATAAAATAATAATCTTAATCTCTCATGTCTCATTTTTACATTTTAATAAAAATAAAAAATTAACAAGTGCTCTTTTTAATTATAAAATTAAATTAATGGCATCTAATTTTTTATTAGGAATTATATTGTTCTTTTCCTTTTTCAGCTTTTTTAAAACTCCTTTGCACTGGTTCAAAACATGAAATTTGAAAATATTACTAATTATTCAAAATTTTCTAAACGCACCTATACAAATTCAGTTTTCTTTCCCACAAAAAATAAAATAAAATAATGCAATAGAATAAGAAATTAACAGTAAGTTTGAACTTTGAATGTTGAAAGAATTTAATATCAAAATTATTAAATGAAAGCACTCACTTGTAGAAAGCTACGCAAACATATTATACTATTTTTTGGTTGGAGAAAAAAATATATAATTCAAAAATTACAATTAGCAAATCTTAGCATAAATATTGGTAAAACAACAAAAAGTTATCAAATTTTAAAAATTACTACTCACAATTTAAAAAAAGAAACATTTAAAAATTATAAAAAGTCAAAATTTGCGATGATGATTTTTTAAAAATAAAAAAATTTAAAAATTAAAATTCTTCAATAATAATTTTTAAAAAATTAATAAAAATTTTAAAGTACCAAAAAAAATCCTGTTAAATTGAAAATTTCTCATATTTTTACAATTTTTTTTCTAAAATACCGTATTTTGGTAAATTTTTCATTAAAAAAATTAAAAACTAAGAGGCAGTGAATCGGGACTTGTCCATAAAAGGCAGGGACAGCCGCTGCAAAAAACCACGCCTCCTAGACAGCAATAATCTCATAGCAACAAATCTTTGAGCTCCCCGTTACCGATTTGTTGTGATTTTATCTGATTATTTGCATGATGGCTACCCCTGTGGTTCACCGTGTTTCAGAATGCTTCATCAAGCCGCAACACTCCCCCGAAGAATCAAACCAAATATGCTATTTAACACCTTGGGATATTGCTAAGTTCTCAACACACTATATCCAGAAGGGTCTGCTCTTCACGAAGCCCTCACCGCTCGTTAATCAACAAGTTTTCATTCAGAATCTATTGAACAAACTAAAACGTGCCCTTTCTCTTACCCTCTTCCATTTCTACCCTTTGGTTGGCCGCTTTGTCACCCTCAAAACCCATGATCCTCCCTTCTATGCTGTTTTTGTTGATTGCAATAACAGTCCCGGAGTTAGATTCATCCATGCAACTTTGGACATGACCATATTCGACATCCTCTCCCCCGTTGATGTCCCACCCATTGTTCACTCATTCTTTGATCACCACAAAGCAGTTAATCACGATGGTCACACCATGCCCTTGATGTCCATCCAAGTCACTGAATTAGTTGATGGTGTTTTCGTAGGTTGTTCCATGAACCACGCTCTTTGTGATGGCACTTCTTATTGGAATTTCTTTAATACATGGTCTGAGATCTTTCAAGCTCAATCTCAAGGGCACGAATATGACTTTCCCATTTCACACCCTCCCATTCTCAAACGCTGGTTTCCAGAGGGTTGTGATCCATTAATCAATCTTCCCTTCAAACATCATGATGAGTTTGTTAGTAGATTTGAAGCACCCTTGTTGAGAGAGAGAATATTCCACTTTTCAGAAGAGTCAATTGCAAAGCTAAAAGCAAGGGCCAACTCAGAGTCCAACAGCACCAAAATCTCTTCATTCCAATCCTTGGCAGCACATGTTTGGAGATCCATAACACGTGCTCGTGGACAACCATATGGAAAGAGAATCAGATGCTACTTCACCGCAAACAACAGAACAAGAATGGAACCGCCTCTGCCTCGGGAGTATTTTGGAAACTCAATTCAAGGGTTGGTTGTTGAGACAACGGTAGGGGAATTGCTTGAACATGATTTGGGATGGGCAGCATCAAAGTTGCATTCGGCTGTTGCAAACTATAACGACAAAGCAGTGCAACAAACGGTTAAGGATTGGCTACAGTCTCCTACTGTTCATCAAACACATCTTCTCTATGACCAGTACAGTGTGTTGTTGAGTAGTTCACCCAGGTTCAACATGTACGGGAATGAGTTTGGAATGGGGAAAGCAGTGGCAGTTCTGAGTGGGTATGCCAACAAATTTGACGGAAAAGTGACGTCATTCCAAGGATATGAAGGAGGGGGGAGCATAGATTTCGAAGTGTGTCTTCTGCCAGAAACCATGTGTGAGTTAGAATCAGACAATGAGTTCATGAGTGCTGTTTCTGTGTCTAAGTCCAATCTTGTGTAGTGTGTGCTACTAGTTTGCCCTTTGTGCCTGTTCTTTCCCAATAAGATAAAAAAGCCTTCAAAGAAATCAATGGAATTGTAATATCATTGGGTGGTCAAACGAGACCGACTTATTGCAATAAAATTGTCTAAGTAATTTAACGTAACATGAATTCTATTTATAATTACATAAACCGTGAAATTAATATATACATTGCACAGATAAAAACTGAGTTTAAATATTTATAAATAATAATAAAGTTATACATATATAATCTATGTATATATATAAATATTTTTTTTAAATATCAATATTTTATTAATAATAAATTTAAAAGATAAAAAGTATTTTAACTCATTATAACTTTTTAAAAAATTAATAATTTATTTAAAAAAATTATTAATCCAACTCACATATACAAATTAATTTTTTTAAAAATATTACTGCAAGCCACTTTTTTTGTATATATAAATATATTTTACCATGGTACCACCATCTCTATCTAAATAGTTTTTCCTATCATTTTTATTTTGTCACTACTTTTATACAATATTCTCATTATTTTTTCATTATAATATGTTATTTGTTTATTACTCAAATTCAATCTAATTTTACCCATACTTCTCTAAATAGAAGTATTAAAATAAAATTAACATTCAAGTTAGAGTCATAATTGACAGTGTAATTATTTGTACAACTCAAACATAAAAAATATAATTTTGAATCAATTCTAATTCTATTTAATTCTATCTAATTATATAAATAAAACAATGAATAAATATTTTATCAACACAAAGTTTGTAATAAATAACAGTTTAAAAAATTAATAAATAATATATTTTAAAATAAAGATTTTCATGATTAGAATAAAAAATAATTATTTTTATTGAATAGACCAAAAATAATACTTTTATGTAACAACCGAAAGTATTATGGAAATTGTAGCAGCTGCCATGGATCATGTTCCATCAAAAGCAATATTTGATAATTGATATGGTATTTCTTAATTTTAGAAATTTCATCGTAACCTTGACAAGCTATGGAATGTGGAATGTATTCGAATTTCGGGATTTTTACTTAAGTACAATTAGGAATTAAAATTATGAAATTACATAACTTTAAATTTTTTAAAAAATATAAAATTCGTATATAAAAAATATATAATTACACTGTGAGGTTAATATTTTTTTTTACATACTGCTCTTTTTATTTGCTTAAAAATTTTAAAAGTTACATCAATCTCAGAATTTCCTTGCCTAATTACATAGTACTTGTGAAAAATTGCCTTAAATTTCTCAATAACAAATATTAGAAATATAATATAACAGTTGAAGGCTTTTTTTATATTATTTTTTAAAATTACTGAAATATAGGATTTTTGACAAAATAAAAAAATATATGAATTTTTAAAAAAATCATTAATAGAAAATTTAAACCCCTTTTCCTTAATTAATAATAATGAATTTTTTTTTAAATATTTTATTATTATTTAAAAAATTGTCATTACTAACTTTTAATTTTTTTTAAAAAAATTGTCATTTGTAATTTTTGAAATTTCATCACTTTTTTTATTTAAAACTTGTATATTTATACCAAAAATCTTCGTTAGCAACTTTTAAACTTCATATTTTTATAATTTATTTATATATATATATATATATAATTTTTAAATATCATATGTAAAAAAAATAATCCAAGAGTTGAATCCCGAGTAGAAAACTGAAAAAAAGAGGGATGGACGGTGGGAACCAGCTGGCATTGAAATGCTAATATATGTAATATTATTTATTCAAAGAAAGATAATTAAGCTACGGTTGCTGAGATCTGGAAGGAGATAATACATCTCCAAGTTCTCTGCAACTAACAAATCTGAATTCATCGTGACATTTTGCATAATGAGTACCCCTGCCGTTCGACCCATATCAGAGTGCTTTGTCAAGCCGCACCCAGAAAGGCCAAATATGAACCAAATATGCTATCTATCTCCTTGGGATATTATTTTGGTGTCTTCACACTACATCCAGAAAGGCCTTCTCTTCAAGAAGCCCGCATCACTTGTTAATCATCAAGATTTCATTCAGAATCTCTTAGACAAGCTCAAGCGCTCTCTTTCTCAAACCCTCTTCCATTTCTATCCTTTGTCTGGACGCCTTGTCACTCACAAAACCCATGATCCACACTCTTATTCCATTTTCGTTGACTGTATCAATAGTGAAGGAGCCAAATTCATCTATGCTACTTTAGATTCGACCATTTCTGACATTCTCTCCCCTGTTGATGTCCCGCCCATTGTTCAATCATTCTTTGATCACCACAAAGCAATTAACCACGATGGTCACACCATGCCTCTGTTGTCTATCCAAGTCACTGAACTATTGGATGGTGTTTTCATAGGTTGTTCCATGAACCACACTATTGGTGATGGGACTGCATATTGGAATTTCTTTAATACGTGGTCTGAGATCTTCCAAGCTCTAGCTAAAGGTCATGAAAATGGTGTTCCTATTTCACACCAACCCATTCACAATCGTTGGTTTCCGTTTAATTGTGGCCCACCACTCAATCTCCCCTTCAAACATCATGACGAGTTTATTGGCAGATACGAAGCACCCTCGCTGAGAGAGAGAATATTCCATTTCTCTGCAGAGTCTATTGCAAAGCTGAAAGCAAAGGCTAACTCAGAGTCCAATACCACCAAAATATCTTCTTTCCAATCCTTGTCAGCACATGTTTGGAGATCCATAACTCGTGCCCGAGGGCTATCCCATGATCAGAGAACAGGTTGCAAGTTGGCCACAAACAATCGAACAAGAATAGAACCACCTGTGCCTCAGGAATATTTCGGAAACTTGATTCATTTAGTGAGTGCAGAAACTACGGCAGGAGAATTGCTTGAGAATGATATAGGATGGGCAGCATGGAAGTTACACCTGGCTGTTGCAAACCATAACTACACAGTGGTTCAGCAAATGGCCAAAGATTGGTTACAGTCTCCTTTTATCCCTCAACTTGGTCGCCTTTTTGAACCCTACTGTGTGCATATGGGTAGCTCTCCCAGATTCAACATGTATGGGAATGAGTTTGGAATGGGGAAAGCGGTAGCACTTAGAAGTGGGTATGCCAACAAATTTGCTGGGAAAGTGACATCATACCCTGGCCGTGAAGGAGGAGGAAGCATAGATTTGGAAGTGTGTCTTTTACCTGATAACATGAGTGCCTTGGAATCAGATGAGGAGTTCATGAATGTAGTTTCTGTGTTCAATCCCTTGTACTAAGTTGTTATGAAATGCACTTCACCGTGATGAATTTTTACATCTTTAAAATAAGGCCAATTTGTATTTCATTAAGCGCAGAAATCCTTTTTTTTGCATGGGAAGTCATTTGCTAAGGTCAATATTGTCAGGAGCGTTAGTATTATGTGGTTATCAACATGGTTGTAATTTTCTCTTATAAAATTTATGCAAGTTTTATAAATAATAAATTAGATCTATTATATAGAAGGTAAAACTACTATGTAAATAGGTGTATTAAAAATTAACAAGTAAAAGAATTGATATAGTTTATTATTTTTGTTGTTTGAATAACTTTTTTGACATTATTACCGCGATATTATTTGGAGAAAAGGGGGGGTATCTAGTGGGGTCAGGATATACCGAAAGTGATTGTTTGAAATTGCATTTGGAGTGTTAAATAAGTGTAAAAAGGAAAGTCCAAAAAAGTTAATGAATGATGTGACAGAAAAATAATATATAAATATAAAAATACATAAAGAATATGAGTTAAAAAATATTAACTTGTTCAACCAATATCTGCTGTGGCGGCTAAACTAGTTTTTCCACGTTGTAAATAGGACAAATTAAACGTCAGGTACTCAATATATCAATCAACGTTTATTTTAGTAAATATTTTTATTTAAGATTTTGGTCCTTAAAAAATTATATATATATTTTTTAAAAAGAATTCTTGTTATCTTATAATATATATTTTTAAGATTTAAATTTTATTGGATTCTTTGAATATTACAATGTTTTCATTTAAACTTCATAAATATAATGAAATTTTAATTTAGTTATTCTAAAATAAGAGGCTAAATAAAAAGTCATGATACTTACAAGAATATAAAAAAGGATTATTTTATAATAAAAAATATTTTTCGAGACACTTGCTTAAAAATTTAAAAATAAGATAGTAGATAAAAAAATATTTTTTTTAAGTCAAAGTTTAATTAAGCCTGTGTTATTAAGATATTTTGCTTTGAATTAAGATGTGATATATATATATATATATATATTTAAAATAAGTAAAATTTCTTATTGAGAATACCAATAGGTTGTTTTGAGTTTGAGTGAGTAAAAAAATATTTCTAAAAAAATATAATATGAAGTAGAATAACTTTTGTTAATATATTTTTTTATCTAACAAAAATAAAAATAGTGTATAAATTTTAAAAATTTAAATTCATAAATAATATACTATTTTAACATTTGATTTATTTATAATATATATCTAACATATCATAATGTTAGTATAATGTCACAGATTAAATTTTATCAAAAACAACATACTAATTAATAGAGGAAATTCAATGTTAGTTGTTAGCAAAGATGATATTTTTAATATATATTAATCTATTCAATGGAAAGAGATTTTAATTTTCTTATATTTTGAGTTAATGATAAATTTTATTTGATTTATACTAGACATAATAACAATTTTACAAACAATGATTAATTTTTTATTAAATGCATTAAATTTATTATTTTTAAATTAAAAAATAAATATTTATATTATAATTGTAATTTATGATTCTATTATCTCCTTAAAATTAACGTTCTTTTAAATATTTTTGTATATTACTTAAACATACATTGGAACGAGACACACGTTCATTTTTGTGGGAAATAAAAGTAGTAATAAGGAACGAGGTCTTCAATTCTTCTAATTGAGATTCTCCTGTCATATTATAGAGACAAACGAAAGTTTAATTTTGATTACTTAAACCTAAACTTGAACGAAAGGGGCGCATTGGATTGCACACATCCATATTATTTATTTATACAAAAGGGTAACCATTAGAGATATCAAAGAAAACACGGCGTCTCTCTAAGCTCTCTGCAACACAGATTTGATGCCTATCCCTGCCATTCGACGCGTTTCAGAATGCTTCATCAAGCCACAACGCCCCACCCAAGAGTCAAACCAAACCTGCGATTTAACCCCATGGGATATTGCCATGTTGTCTGTACACTATATTCAGAAAGGCCTCCTCTTCAAGAAGCCCACACCGCTTGTAAATCATCAAGATTTCATCCAAAATCTGTTGGATAAGCTCAAACACTCACTTTCTCTCACCCTCTTCCATTTCTATCCACTGGCTGGACGCCTTGTCACCCACCAAACCCAAGACCCTCCCTCTTATGTCGTATTCGTTGATTGTACCAACAGCGATGGAGCCAAATTTATCTATGCAACTTTAGATATGACCATATCAGACGTCCTCTCCCCCCTTGATGTCCCACCCGTTGTTCATTATTGCAATTTAACACCATGGGATAAAGATGTAGAGAAGGAGAAAAAAATAAAAAGTAAATATTTAACTTTTTACATATTCATAATTTGAATGAGCAATCAAAACTGCTTTTGTCAACTCCAATCGTGCCTCTGTCATAATTTCATTACAAATTATCACATTATTATTTCTCTTATTCTCTTTTCTAAATCATCACCTTTAATTACTTAAAATTTACTCTCCTCTCTACTCATCATTGTCTTTTCCAAACCACACCTTCAAGCATGCAAGGATTCACCATCTCTCTATTCATCATTTTTTCTCTTTCTTAATCTATTATAATTTCTAAGTACAAAACTTACAACTCATCTCCTACCATTCTTCATTTCTTTCCCTCTCCCTCATACCAATTTTCACCATCGAAAACTATAGTATCCATTAACTTCACCTTTATCCTTTCATGACTCCTTTTTATCTTGAAGAAAAATACGCCCATAACTCTAAAATCATATACCTCTCAAATTTGTAATTTTCAAAATTTGGACCTTTTTCTCTTTTTTTTAATTTTTTTTAATTTTTTATTTATTTAGCTCAACATACATTTTCTTATTTCAGTTTTTTCTATTTTTTCATTATTATTCTTTTTTTAGTATTATTATTAATTATTATTGTTGTGAATATTATTTTGTCTAAAAATATGATTCTTATTATTTTGTTTGTTTTATTTTTATTTATTTATTTTAATTTAGTCCTCTTAATACTATTTATTAATCTTCTCAAATAATAATAATTAGAATAATTATAATAAAAGGCTATTAAAATTAAATAAACATAATTTTTTTATTATTTTATTTTATCATATTATATTTGAATCGTGTTTTTTTATTTATAAAATTTATCTCATTCTCATATTAGTAATATTTTTTAATTTTTTTTATGATATTTCATTATTTATATCTTAATTTTTATGTTAGTTATTTACTTTTTAGGATTATTATTTTTTATTTTATTTATTATATATTTGTAGAATGCTGATATAATTTAATTTTATATTTATAAGTATTTCTTCTTATAATAAGAATAGTCAAATATTCATTTTTATATAATCAATAAATAAAAAATAATATAATTATATTAATTTATAATATTTATGTATAGATTTTTTATCATAATGTATTATTCAAGATGTATTATCTTCTAATTACGAATTTACTAATTAATCAATTAAAATTATTTTATTAATTTGATAATTTATAATGTTAATGTGTGACAATTACTTTATACGTTATAACTTGTCAAAATCTACATGTAAGAATATTATCTTAAGTTTTATACACTATCAATATATTAAAAAAATTTAAATCTAACTTCTAAAATTAATCAATCATATGATTGTTTTTATTTAATTAAGATTTATCATCTAAAACATTCTTTTATTTGAATTATTGAATAACATAAATTGGTAAAACTCAATCATATTTATCTTCAATTAATTGTATATATATCAATAATTTAAACACACTTCTTATATTCATACAAAAATAATTTATTTATCTACTCAAATTATAAATTTTTCATCATATTAATACAAAAATTTGTAGTATAATTATATAGTGTTTCTACTTTTATACACTTTAAATTATTGAGCCTTTTATGTAGCAACTTTACCTTGGACCTCATACAATACAAATTTATTAAATTATATTTCAATATTTTTATTAAATAAATATATATTTTTCATTCATTAAATAAATTTAATTTTATATTTTAAAATTTCTTAAGTCATGTTTCAAGTTTTGATTACTTAATTTTATTTCTTTATTTTATTATATAAATTTTTGCAATATCAATGTATAATTTACATTACTTTCGATTATTCAATAAATTATAAGAAACTTTTTCTTTTTCTAAATATCAATATTTTATTAAGGATAAATTTAGAGTATAAGGATACTCTAACATGTTACAACTCTAAAAACACTTAACAATACATGTTAAGAATCATAAATTAAATTCACATATATAATTAATCCTCACTGAGGTCCTGTTGCAAGCTACCTCCACAAACGATATTTAATATAATTAAACATTTTACTAACATTTATCATACTGTTATTGAAGATAATATTATTTCACTAAAGCCAAATTATTCATACTATTGCAAATCATACCATTATAACTTTTTCCGGTTTCAGTAACATCTCGTGCAAAGGTTCAGGAAAGCATAAATTGACACTGAACCATTCAAACACCATGTACAATATTTTTATAGAGATACCGCAATGCAAAAAAATATGCAATAAGTCCTCTTATTCAGTATCACACAATCCACAAACTTATGATGGAATCGTCAATCCATGTTTGGTCAAATTCTTCCACATTACATTAAGCAAATAGATGCCAAACGAACTACTAACTTTCTCCGTATACTGACCTTATAAATTTTGCGTAAAGCTTGCACTAAACTCAGCTCTAAGCTACTAACTATAGTGAAAAAATGATGAATATAGTGATAAAGAATTTATGTATAACTTATGCAATTTTAAATTTTCTTTCAATATAAATTTTTAAATTCAAGTATAAATTCAAACTTTTTCATTTACAAATACATTTTATTAAAATTTATTAAATTATTTTTAATATTTCATAATATAACTGTGTGGTCTCCTTTACTCTTTATATTATTTATCATAAGACACATGTATATTCGTATCATTATCTTATATTTTAAACGTTATCAATTTATAAAAATAATTTTAATATTAAAATAATTTTTTTTACTAAATTTAATTTTAATCAATCAACCTTAGAAGTTTTATGATAAAATTACTTTACTTTGATTTCTCATTACACTTGAGAATACTTAAGAGCAAGAATTGAACTCTTTGAGTCAAAATAATTTTTTCTTTCTCAAAATACTAATTAATATTTTAATAAATAAAGTTTAATCTTTTAAAAATAAAATAACAATATTTATTATTTAAAAATTAAATAAATATTTTTTAAAATTAAAATAAATTTACACAACTAATTTAAAATAATTATTATTTTTAAACATACATTATAGTATGGCAATAGCTTAAACTACTTCTAATCTTATTTTGCTTTCATATAATTTTTTTTAATAAATTTAGATGATAATTATTTTATTATTTTAAAAAACATTTATTTTAATTTTAAAACGTCCTCTAATATTTTAAAAAATATTTATTTTAATTTTTTTTAAACGTTTTAGCCGTGCCAAAGTGCCGACAATTAGTGTCTCGTGCATGCATTCATTTGTAGCTCCGTACGTCGCACGGTAACGAGACATTAGCTTATATATGGCTTAGCAGACCTCGGAGCAAGTATCTACATTTCTATTCTTTGCAAAACAAACCGATTTCAGCGCGTGACTATTTGGAAGATGAGTACTCCTACCATTCGTCGCGTTTCAGAATGCTTCATCAAGCCACAGCGTCTCACCCATGAATCAAACCAAACATGCTATTTAACCCCTTGGGATTATAGCATGTTGTCTGCACACTGTATTCAAAAGGGCCTGCTATTCCAGAAGCCCGCACCACTAGTTAATCAACAAGATTTCATCAACAATCTTTTGGACAAGCTCAAACACTCACTTTCTCTCACCCTATTCCATTTCTATCCATTGTGTGGACGCTTTGTCACACACAAAACCCAAGACCCTCCCACTTATTCCATTTTCGTTGATTGTATCAATAGTGATGGAGCCAAATTCATCTATGCTACTTTAGATTTGACCATATCTGACATCATCTCCCCCGTTGATGTCCCACCCATTGTTCAATCATTCTTTGATCAACACAAAGCACTTAACCATGATGGTCACACCATGCCCTTGTTGTCCATCCAGGTCACTGAATTGTTGGATGGTGTTTTTATAGGTTGTTCCATGAACCACTCTATTGGTGATGGCACTTCGTATTGGAATTTCTTCAATACATGGTCCGAGATCTTTCGAGGCCAAGCTAAAGGGCATGAACATGATACTCCCATTTCACTCCAACCCATTCTCAAACGCTGGTTTCCAGAGGGCTATGGTCCAATGCTCAATCTTCCCTTTAAACATCATGACGAGTTTATTAGTAGGTTTGAAGCGCCCCAACTCAGAGAGAGAATCTTTCACTTTTCAACAGATTCCATTGCTAAACTAAAAGCAAAGGCTAACTCTGAGTCTGACACGACAAAAATCTCTTCATTCCAATCCTTATCAGCACTTGTTTGGAGATCCATAACTCGTGCGCGCCGCTTGCCACATAATCAGAGAACAAGTTGCAAGCTGTCCATAAACAACCGCACAAGATTGGAACCGCCACTGCCTCAGGAGTACTTTGGAAACTCAATTCATACGCTGAATGCGGGCACCACGGTTGGGGAATTGCTTGAGAATGATCTGGGTTGGGCAGCGTGGAAGTTGCACGTGACTATTGCAAACCATAACGATAGAGCGGTGCTGCAGCTGCTGAAAGAGTGGTTAAAGTCTCCTTCGATATATCAACTTGGTCAATTCTTTGACCCGTTCTGTGTGATGATGGGTAGCTCACCAAGGTTCAACATGTACGGAAATGAATTTGGAATGGGTAAAGCAATAGCTGTTAGAAGTGGCTATGCCAACAAAGTTGATGGAAAGGTTACGTCATACCCAGGTCGTGAAGGAGGAGGAAGCGTGGATTTAGAAGTGTGCCTTTCACCAGAGACAATGAGTGCATTGGAATCAGACCAAGAGTTCATGAATTCTGTCTCAGTGTGTGCACCATATTGATACGTGGTCACCCGAGTCACTACAACTTTGAGGACGTGTTTGGCACGTAATTTTATTTTTTCATTTGTGAGAAGCATGTTTTTGAGGAATGTGCTGTTTATATAATCATAATTTCTGATAATGAAATGCTTGTATTTGGTACGTTTGGAAGATTCTTCAATGTAATAAATATGTGTTTGGAATGTTATGGAATGCATTTGCCATGTTTCAAAAATTATTGAGAACGTTTTTTATTATAGGAGTTTTGAAATTTTACTCTTTTTATAAAATCATGTTGTTGAAACGTATAGTAAAAAATTCTTCTTAAGAAGGTTAATTTCGTACGCTTATTTTTTGAAATATTAATATTAAATATTTACATTTAGTATTTTCAATTTCAGATTTATGATAAACTTAATATAAAATATGTTTGAAAATTATTAAAGTATTTTATCGATAAAAATATTAATATGTACTAATATTTCAAATATTAATATAATTTGATATTTGTTGGTATAATAAATGAACGAATTTGTTTGTAGTGTTATGAAAAAAAGTTTTGTAAATTAGTTAATTAATAATGTGTAAGAATTGATTGATATATTAATTTTTTTAATTGTATGTGTTTGAAGTATATTTTCAAAATTATAAGGGCTATCTATTGTAATTTTTAAATTTTATATTACACTTTTTATTATTGTTTTGTGCTCTTGTAGTTTTTTTTATTAGTTTTAAATCTTTGTAAAAGTGTACATTAATTAAGAAATAAATTTTAAAATTTAGTAACTAATGGATACCACCCATATATAGTCCAGATCTAATTTTAGAATTTATTATACAAATATTTTTTAATGGAAACTTATATTTGTACAGAAAAAATATGTAATAATGCATAAAATAAGATAGGTGAAAGAAAATAAGTAAGCCAAAATAAGTAATGTAATGAAAATAAATAAAAATGTTATATAATTTATTGTATTTTTATTAAAAATGTTAACAATTGTTTTAGGAATGCTGATTAACAACATTCTTATAAAAATTATAAAAATGAATTTAGTCTCGTGATTTTATTACGCTGTAATTTTTAATGACAGTTTTCATTTATTCATTACTTTAATAATTTTTTTAGTTTCTTATTAAATAAATATTACTAAAAATATGCCTAAATATTTGGTACAAATTTAATAAACCTTTTTATAAAATTAAATTATAAATATACTAATAATTACTAAAAGACACTACATTTTAATTTTTTATTTTTTAATTAATGTCTTAAAAGTACTAGCCCTCCTTGTGAAATTAATTAGACGGTACATTGTATATATTCCGCGGCTATTGTATTTTTTTAAAATTTAAACGATTAAAATAATATTTTTTAAAAACAATTTATTTGTTCAAAATTTTTTATCACGTCGTTAAAAGTTTTGTTTACCTAAAAAGTGAAATGCAATTATTTTAAATTTTGCAATTAGAGGAATATAACTTATATATATATATATATATATATATATATATATTTAAAGAATACATCAAACTTATTTTTTATAATTTTTAAAAGAAAAACCGGAAGAAGAAAACATGCCGGAACTTGATAATACATATTATTTGAGTGAATTGTATTATAAGACAAATAATGCCTCAATCGATACTCTGTAGGGTACATTGTAAGTACATATTTTTAGATGAAACTCTTTAAAAATATATAAAAAAGATAAGTTTTGTTCCTTTAACATGGGATATTTAACGTTACTGTGCCACATGTCTTAATTTATTGGTTTTATTGTTAGATATAACTTAATAAAAAAAAAAAGTATAGATGAAAAAAGTTAAATTTGATCTCTTGTATAAAGAAACTTTTGATAATGTGGTAAAAAATTCTAAACATAAAAGTTGTTTTAAATTATTATAATAATTAGTTTTCTAAAAATATTAAAAAAATACAAAAGCCCTTTTTCTTCCTCATGAACATCACTGAAATTGGTGGCCAATGCCTAACAAAAAGCATCGTTGTTTTCCCTCTTTGATAAAGCAGACAGTCTTGTACGAGACCCTGACTTCAAAACGTTAGATACAAATAATGACACGTTGAAATAATAAAAATAATGATAAATTTTAAAATAATTTTAAACAACATATGATAAAAATTAATAAATAATAAAAACACAATATTTTAATATACTAAATATTTTATGATTTTTAATGAAAAATTTATTATGCATAAATTTTATAATGTACATATATATATGTATTTAAATAATAATAATAACAATAATATTATTATTATTGTTATTATTATTATTATTATTATTATTATTAAAATAAAAAACCAGATAATCTTCGTCACTACTACTGGTTTGAGGATAGGAACTAAGAGACAAAGTAATTTGTTGTGTGAGCGGCTAGCTAGTATTTAGCACGCTGCAGAGTTGATGGTCCAAGGAAGAGGGCCTGTTGCGTAGCTATGATAACAACTAAGAGGTTTAACATATGAATTTGGTTCTGTGGGAACTTGCGTGCTCATCCTAGTTAAGTTTGTTAGTGATTTGACATGAACAAAGACAATTTACTTATGATTTCATAAATTTTTGGGCTCATGACAAGGTCTGTATTTGTTCTTGGTTTAACTATGATACCATTTAATGATTGATTATATATGTTCAAGTTTATGTTGTGCCTAAAGATCACGTGTAGTGAGTAGGTCTATTTTCAGGTTTCATTATTGAGAGTAAAAAGGCACATAATGGAAACTGTGGGGTAACACGAAATTACTTTGTCAATGTAGAGATATTAATGTGACAATGAGCTTGTACTATCATTGTCTACCAAATTGTATCAACAATGATTCAAAACATAAATTTTTAAAAAGTTATGCTATAGTCAAACAAAATACTTACAACAATAAAAACCAGAAAAACCTTTATTAAAAATTATTTAAGCTAAATTTCAGATATATGTTTAGATTAATATTTTATGTTTTGATTTTAAATATACAACAATATCAAATATTTTTAAAAAAATATTCATATTACCTATTAAATGTACCTTTAAAAAATGAAAAAAAAAAAAACGTGTAACAACGATTATGTAACCTTTCCTTAGATGTCATTGTTTTTAGTACACTATCATTATTGGTAGGAACTGTGGACATGTAAAAAAAACAAAAAACAAACAAAAATTAAAATAATAATGTAATATATTTATAGAAATTTTAAATATATTTACATAAACAAATATTAAGAGAAAGTGAAAAATACCTGTAATATAAAAAAAAACTATTAAGAGAATTTTGACTTTTTTTATGAAAAAAAATAGAAACTAAAGATTTTGAGAATATAAAAAAATTAAAATTTTTAATGACAATTTTTAGTACTTTATTATTATTATTATTTTAAATATTATTGGTATTTTTTATTTATTTAAAAATTATTAATGACAATTTTTTATACTTAAAATTTTTTAAATGTTCAATTTCTAAATCCTTTATACCTGTACTTAAAAAAAACAAAGGTGATATTTAAGTTTTCAAATTTTTGTATTTTCTTAATTCTATATTTTAATATATATATATATATATATATATATATATATATATTATTTTAAATACTATATGTACACAAGATAATCTGAAAAATATTTGTCATCAAATCTAATCACATTTTGAAAGAATAGTTTTTTATTTATGCAATTAGAGGATATACTTAAAAAAAATTGAAAACAAAATATATCATAATTTGAACTGTTTTATTAATTGCAATTGTTATGGAAAATTTTAAAGCAGGTATGTTTCCAATTATATGTATTATTTAACTTCGCATCGTTAATTGTTATGTTTAAATTTTGCTGATTTAGAAGTGCATTGTAATTAATTAATTTTTAAAAAAATTAGTTAAATTAAACATGCAATTAAAAATATGTGGATATCAATAATGAACATTTGCTAGCTCAAGTAGTAATTAATTTTATTCTTTTAAGTAAGTTCACCTAACATGAACTAGTCCAAATTATGGATGATTACAAGTTGGGTTGAATTAAATTTAATTAAAACACTAATCAAAATTAATTGGTTATTTTACTGGGAAGCCTGCATTTGCGGAATACCCATGAAATCTGGCTAAGGAAGTAACAATGTCCTTTTATTTTTCTCGGTGAAAGGAAGTAACTAATGTTTGATTCTGATACATTTGTACAGCTCAGACAATAGATGTCGTAAAGGAACGACCCTCGCTTATCTTCATTACACGAAATGTTCAGCCTACTTTTCGTATTTCTCTTTGTCATTGCCATGATTTCAGGCATTCTCACTCGTCATTTCTTTCCTTCATAATTTGGGCATATCCTTTACTGCATTGTATTTTGTCTTTATTTCTTTGCTGTATAAGAAAAGAGAAAACGCCAATAGGTTCAACTTTGAGAATCAAATATAAATAATTAATAATAGTTTTTATTAAATTATTTATTATATTATATTTTTAAAAATATTCAATCTCTGTCTAAATATTAATTTTTCAAATATAAATAAATAATATTTTAATTCATTTGTTGTTTATTGATTTTATTTTATTTTAAAATTTTAAATAAATAATTATTTATTTATTAATTTTATTCAATTTCATTATTGATGCTATATATTAAATTATTTTCATATTTATCTTAATCTTAATTTATTTTAATTTTTAAAATTCTATCAGGTTAGTATATTGATTGTTGTCTTTTTCTTTCATTCCTTTTACATTCTTTTTTGTAATAATGGGTTGAAGACATTTTATTTGGCTGAAGACGTCTTGAAGATAGACCAATAACATCCATTAAAATTGATATACAATATTTTAAAAATAAATAAGAGCACCTACTAAAAGTAATTTGGTTATATTTAAAAAAGATTTTGTTGTATTATATTTTCATTTTTCTTGTATTATTTTCATATAACGTGTAATGAAAAATTAAATTCTAACGTTTTATCACTTTTGACTAATCCAACATGATTTGCATCACGTGTTTAAATTCACGATTAAATGGACATGTATACGCAATGTCGCATATGAGTAGGTTTATTATTTTTCAGGCTCACATCCCATAACAGCTTACTTGGATCAGATCAGTCAGTCCACAAACATTTTTTCTAGTCACTTGTGCATTTTTCAATTATCCGATAACACAAAAAATAAATTTGTTAGAAAAAACAAACTAATGAGTCTTTTAAATGGCGATAATAATTTTATATTTACAAAAGGTCTTATGAGGTTTTTTTAAAAAAAAAACTTCAACATTGTTTTGAAGTAAATTTATTTGTTTAGAATTAATTTAATTTTTAAAAAATTAACTAACCAATTCTATCACATTGAAATAAAATTTAGTTAACTATATGATTTTAATGATTAAAAAACTCTTTTTTTTAAAAACAATCTTTTAACACAACAATGATTGATTTAAAATTAGTTGAAAATTAACCGTGAACGAAGCATGCGCAAACCGTTCATCTAACGACTCCATCCGTGCCAAACACTTACTGAACCATGCATCACGAGCCACCCAACCATGCACATACCTAATAATACCGCATGCACCATGGCACAACTCATCCATGAGACACTTCAGAGCAAGCACCTTAACACTCATGGGCCACCACGACATGCTAGTCATACAATAACCATCGTATAGTTATTACACTCATGGGCGGTGCATGATGTGAACCCATCACATCTTAGTCATGCAGGAATCACCATGGGGCCATTGTCTCGTTCACCTTGGACAACGAAACCATTTATAATTTATCTGACCACCGTGCATGGGAGGAACCATGACCACTACCCAAACTTGAATGAAAGACTTTGGACGAGTCAAATAAAATTCTAAAATAAATTCAATATATATTATTATAATATACACATAAAATCTACCATAAAAATAATATTAAAGTATAATATAAATTTTAATGAAATAGTTTGAAATTTAATAGCATAACTTTATATCTGGTGTTAATATTTCCAGTCAAATTTATCTTAACTTATATAATAATATAATACGGTATATCTTCTTTTCTTTTATTATATAAATCACCTTCAAATTTTTATATGAATTAAAAGATGTAAGAATATTACACTTTGTCTTATTTATAAAAAATAGTTATCAGTATTTTTATTTAAACACTAATTAATACTATCGATATTTTTTAATAAATAAATAAATAATTACAACATATAACTATTTTTTATTGATCTTTAAGTATTTATTTATTTTAAATAAAACTCAAGGTAGTATAAAAAAGAAGTATTTAACAACTTTTGTTTGTTGAAACTTGCATGTGTGAGAATACAATTTGTCATACCAAATTAGCAAACTTAAAAACACTTTGAGTAATATATTTTTTTTAAAGGATTCCAATTGCATAGGTTAGTTGTTTTCTTTTTAAATATTTATGCAGGGAAATGAATCGTAGTTATAGTTTTATGAATCAAACTCATCTAGCTTGTGCGGACAAATTTGCCAAGTCCCAATTAAAATGATTCAAGATTTTACTGGTCCAGTCTCACGCAAATTGTTATTTGTGCAGACTAAAAAACATACTTAAAAGTGCATTTAGATACATAACATAATTAATTTTTATTTAATAATTTGTTTATATAAAATTTATGTCACAAATTTTATCATATAATGCATTTAAATAAATTAAAAACGTATTTTAATAAATTACACTAACTATAAGTTTTAGAAAAAACTTATAAAAAAATCAATTATTTTCAAAAGTTATTTAGTTATTTTTTATCAACTTTGTTTTTGTGAAAAGCCTTTTTCTATCAACTGAATTTTACATGACAAAATACAAGGCCCAAACGCAGCAAATACGCCCAGAATGAGCTAAACAACAAAAGGCTAGAAGTTATTTTAGTCCATAAATTGTGTTCTAGGCCATTGGGGATGTGACATGGGTTGAGGTATTGTTTTTCGTGGGTTTTTTTCAACGATAAAAAATGGGCTGAAGAGTGATATTATTTTTAATTTGGTCAAAAGAACTAGACTCAAGAAGACTAAAAAGTAGACTAAGTCTACATATAATCTGGGCTGGGCTTTCATAATCTTAGACTCGATGCCTGCGTTGAGCTGCATTAACTCCCAGTTCTTCAATTCCGAACTTGAAATTCAAGCAAAAAAGAGAACAAGTATATGAGTCACAGTGTCACACTTTATTTTTATTTATTTTTTAATATAAATAGATATTTTTAACCGTGTCGAATAATTACAACGTTTCTCCTAATATATTTTATTTATTTATCACTACAGTTAGTGTTATCAACAGTGAATTTAAATTTTTTTTTATTGATTTTAATATTTTTAAACATGTAATAAAGTTTTAAATATCTCTATGATTAATTTCAGAATTTTGTTTGAAACTTTATTTTATCTTCTAAATTTGCTAAATAGATATTAAGTATTTAAAATTAACGATTATTTGTGTAAACAAATCACTGTGATGGAAGAAAAATCATCTAATAAAATTTCTCATGCTAACTATGACTCAAATTTAACATATATTTATTTTTAATAGAGAAAAGTGTATACTTTAATATAAAAAATTGTAAATCAATGTAATTTTTCAAAAAATACAATTTACTTTCTTTTAATGACAAGTACATTTTAATATTTTTAAAGCATTATTCTTTGAGGATATATTTGTATACATAATTTATTTAAATGCTTGTTTAATAATATTTTAACAGTGATATATACAATAAACTTAATAATATATTTTATTAAGATATTTAAAAATGATTTATTTTTAAAATTCATACAAATAAATTTATTTAAATAAATAAAAAATCATAAATATTAATAACTTTGATTAAGTAACCTATATTAAAACTCAACTCGGGTTTAATTAGTTTCTTTTGGATCCGTACAACACAGAGAATAGAGATGCGAACTGAAAGAGGAGAAGGGGGCTGCATTCAGCACCAAAATCCAACGTCGTTGTAATTGGCGTGTTTGGGGACATAAGTCAGAAGCAAAGACAAATATCACATCACCTCCTTCATTCGACAGGCGCCCAAACACGCCACCCTTTCTGCCTTTTTTTCTCGTTATCGAATTACCAATTACCATGTTAGGAATTTTCTTCTTCTTCTTGTTAATTTCATTTTAAGAGATAATATATTTATGATAATTTTATATTGGTTAATATTCATACAAAATTAATTTAATAAAAATACATAAATTAAATTCAAATTTTTTATACAAAACAATTTAATTAATAAATACTTATTTTACTGATACTAGATTATTAAATATCCAAATACTAAAATATTTTTAAATTTTAAAATAAAAATGTCTAATTAATAATTTTTTTAATCATAATGAAGATTTTAAATATTTTATTATATTTAATGTTAATTGGAACAAATAAATACTAATTAATGAAATTATAAAAATAAAATTTTTCATTAATAAAATAATGAATTGACAAATAAGTTGATTTTACTTTAATTTAATTTAAAAATAAAGTTTATACATTTATCACAGTATAATAAAAAAAAGATAAACGACTTTATAACAAATTATAACATATTTTTAAACATTTAAAATAAAATATTAATTTTAATATATAAATCTGAATATCTGTTATAACATAAAATAATTAATGTAATAAAATGTTTTAAAAAAATCTTGAATGAAATATTACAAGTGAGTAGTTAATGTTAATAATATTAATTTTACATATTTATTTCCTTGCAGTATATATTTGTGGGAAAGATCAAAATAAAACAAGACAAAACATGGTCTCTCCATTTCGAGGCAAGAAGCAAGATCCTCACTCTAATTTAATCTATTGCGTTGTCTTGTAAATTAAAGATTACCGTCCTCTTTAGATTTTTGTTTTAATTATATTTTTCTTTTTTCGATGTCCTCCAAACCCTCTCTGCTCTAACCTTTTTCTCACTGTATTGGCTTTCTTTGTTTTCTCTTCTAAAGGACAAGAAACAATAAACCAAATAAAAAGCACTCCTTCAATACGAGTGCTTTCTTTCTCTATCTATTCTGCGTCACCCATCTTCTGATTTTTCATATAGATCGAGCTTTTTCCATTTCATCTGGTAGGTTTTTTCATTTTTTCTACTTAACCTACTTTTTTTTATGGTGTGATCAGGGTAATTTGCTGTTGCTTCGGAAATTTATAAACTTTGAATTTTCCATGGTTTTATTTTAATTCTGCTTGCTTCTTGAATTTCTTTAACGGTTCTTGATTCCTTTAATTCAGCTTCTTGTTGTGTCAATCCAACCCAATACGGTATTGTTGATATTGTGGCTGATCTTGTCAGAAAAATTATTTCTTTTTTTCTTCCACGTTTTTATTCGTTGTCTTGTGTGAAAAGGTGCCGGTTTTGTTATTGAGGTTTCGTCTCTTTGTCTTTTGGGTGCTCAAATTTCCGGTACTTAATCAATTGGCAATGCTGCATTAGTGGGATTGGTACTACATAATAATTTAGTTGATAAAAGAGGTTTGAGTGGCGGTGCTTGTGATTTGGGTGGTGCTTACCTGTTCCACATGTTAATTCCTAAGGTTAGGGCATAGAAGCATGCTTAAGCTAATCTTTAGTTCCGAATTAGTCTCATTAATAGTTAAAGGATACTATTTCATAATATTGTTGCCTAATTGTAGAGTTTGTGTTAGAAACACTTGTGCTACCTTATGCTCTGATACTTTTGTTGATATGTTGTTGTGCTGAAACATATACAGATTACATCTTTTAACTACAACAAAAAGGTCCACAGAAAACATTCAACTGTGACTGAGGTGCATTATAGAGATAATGAGAACTTTGAAAGAAGGGATACTTATTGGTTTTAGATGCCTTTTGAGACAACATTTGGAAATTATTATATCAAACTAGGTTACAAGCGGTTTTGCAAAATTAGATCAAAACCATATTAAGAAGTATTATAAAGGGTTTACATGTAACTACAGTCAGCACCTGGCTATAGATTAAATATGCTATTTTAAATGTTTTCACTGGTTTGTTGGCATCATAAGGTGCAGGACAGCAAAAAGACCACTCTATAATGTTATGTATAGTTTCAATTTAGCAGTAGTATATAACTTTAACGACTTGTCCATTTTTTATTTCTAATGAGCATTTTATTGTTTTCTTGAACAGACCTGCCAAAATTAGTGCATGATTTGCTGCTCTATTGAGGAATTTATTTCATTTATTTAACTATATTAAGGTGGGAAACTCATAGATTCCTTCAATGCAAAGACAGAGAAATACAATTGGTTCAATGTCTGAAACGTTAGAATTTGATTGTGGATCTACATCAAATAATTCTACTGTGGATCAGCAGATTTGCTGGAATAATGTGCGGAATCCTGCAGAGAATCAAATGCCTGACTGTATTCTTTCTCCCAGTGATATGAACTCATCTTATGCGAATTCTAGAAATCATGAATGGCGAAATTTGAGTGGATGGAGTTTAGGAGAGCCAAGTTCCAGTAATACACCAAATGAGGTTGATAATAATGATCAAAATAGAGAACTTGGATGGTCATCAACCATAAATGCTGGTGCATTAGCTGGTCCAAGACTAGAAGAAAGGCACCTTGAACAAGGCAATGCTCTTTCACTAGACAATGGCAATACGGGTCCAATATATATGCACAGCCCCAATTCTCATTTGATGCCCCAGAGTATCAACTTAAATGCAGGTTTAGCGGACAGTGGCAGTGATAATAGTCAACATCTGGAATGCCCTAATTTACACAAGTCTAGTGGGTCAGTAAATGAGAGTATACCATCTAATGTTGGATCTGGTTCTTTTCCACTTCCTCCTGGAAATAGTGGCTTACTGGTAAAAGATAATGATGGTAGGTCAGGTTGTTCTCTCGAGACCCGACGTACATCTTGTAAAAGAAAGGCTGTTGAAGGAAATGCTGGACAATCTTCAGGTGCTGGAAGTTCTAGCTACAGTCAGCATACAGATGGTAATGCTTGGCTCCCCATTCCTACTCAGGATAATTCTGGGAGAAGTTCAAGCAGAAATATTTCCTCAGAACAGGTAAATGCAAGACTTGGACTGGGTATGGGGGATGAAGCATCTGAAAACGTCCCTGATTCAAACGTTGCAGGAACCTCAGAAAGCTTTCTCAGGAATTTCCGGTTGAGGATAAATCCTTCAAACCAACAGAATTCCATTCCTCCCACAGCATTCTCGACTGGCAGCATGATTAGGAACTCTGGTGTTTCTTCGTCCTCTCAAGTGTCACAAAGGTTTCATCCTGTTGATAATTCTTTGAACTTGAGGTCAGCGCCACCAATAAATGATACGATTCCTCATAGTCAGCCACTAGTAATTCATTTTCCTGCTTTGCCGAGGAATAGGCAATCATTTAGATGGAATGGTAGTTCTAGCTCAAGAAACATCCATTCATCAAACTCAGTTGTATGTGCCAACAGGGATCAGGAGGGTACAAGCTCAAGAAGTATGTCTAGAAATATTTTAGAACGCCCAGTCTTTGTACCTGCAAGTGATTTAAGAAATTCTGTTCTAACTCCAACTATTAGAGCTTCAAGCTCAAGTAGTGAAAGTTTAAGCATATCAGGAAATGTTGCTTCTTCATCACGGACTGGATCAAATCCAGCAACCAATCCCCCATCTGCCTCAACTTGGCCTTCTCATACTAATGCTCCCCATCATCCTTGGAGGTTATCTGAATATGTCCGTCGGTCCTTGTTTTCTCCTGGTTCTGATGCTAATGGAAGTCCAAGCAATAGTAATTCTTCCTTGCACTCAAGTCTTTCTACATCTGAATCGAGGATGTTATCATCTGGCACTGGAGCAAACCCAAGATCATCTTCATGGTTGGAGAGGCATGGAGATACTGACTTTGGAATTCCCTATTCACTACGTACTTTGGCTGTGGCAGGTGAAGGAAGTAGTAGACTTGTATCTGAGGTCTGTATTCAGTTGTCTTTTCTTACATTTCAATAATAGACAGTTTTCACTGCTAGGAAGAATGTTGCTTTAGTGATCATATTTAGTGTTTGGAGTATTTTATTTTCATTCATGAATAATTGTTCTCTTGTAAATGACAATTTTTTTTTTCATGGGGCAGCTCCGCAATGTTTTGGGCCTTATCCGTAGAGGTGGTGGGAGCATGCGAATTGAGGTTAGTTATTCAAAATTAATGGTGTATACTCACAAAAAATAGATTCAGTGTTAAGTTTTCTTTACCTTTCTGTGTCTAATTTACTAATGGTGTCATAATGGATTGGATTCAAAGCTGGTTCAATCCTGACACAGCTCCAATGCAAAAATATAACTACTTGTTCTGTTATTTAGCAGCAAGCATTGAGTTAAGATGGCTCTAACATGCCTACCAATGATTTTGATTTATTTGTAATTTTGATTGAACTTGGACTTGGAATCTGAAAGGTAATCTGTCCATGTATGTCAAACATAAGTATGAGCTGATGCAGCTTTGAAGTAAAAAGTGAAAGGATGCAAAATTTTGTACATCGTTATTTGTGTAATGTCTTGCCTACTTTTATAATAATGACTTGTATATTTCTTATAATATAATCAAAGATGAAAACTGGAATGCACCCAGATAACAAGTGGTCAGAGGGTATAAAAGAAAAGCTAAAATTTAAATACGCTTTGCAAAGGGTACTAGTTATCGAATCAAAAGTAAAATCTTCTATCGGAAAGTGTGACAGTGTAATCTGTGTGATTTTGAATGCACCTCCAACATGGTTTCCGGTTTCTATTTATTAATTCTTTCCAGCAATTCTCACAACAAAATGAAGTTCCAACTACTTTTCATTCAGCTGATATTTGACACTGCTGATAACTATTCTGAAATGTGCTCCAAGCAGAAAATTCTTTATTTTGTATGTGCATGTATTTGTGTGGAAAGGACTATGGACCCTAAGTAGCTAAAATACTCCTAAAGAAAGGCACACTAGTTAAATCTTCTAGCAACAGTCTATCACATCTGGGAGAGGGAAGCTACTTTTTAAGGTTACACTACAGTGGAGGCGGGGGTACTCCCCCTAACTAGCTAAAACACTTCTGAAGAAAGACAATAACAGTAACAATAACAACCAAGTCTCATCTCACTTGGTGCAGTCTACTACACTTCTGAAAAAAGACACATAATCATGAGAAAGATTTGAAATCCAATAATCATCTGGTTCTGTTCCCTTAATCATGGTCACATGGACACTCCAGCACTTAGCCGAGAAACCTCTAATTTTGTTTGCGAACACAGCACAAGGAGGTGAAGGGATATAACCTTCACCTGTTTTCTAGGCATTTACATTTTTGTAATATATTTTGGGTGGAAGTGATGTAGGGTTAGAGACCTAGGAGATCAAAAACACATCCAAAGCCCACAGAGGTCTGTCTCTTCTGGTTGGGAACTGGGGAAACTGGAAAAAAAGATTATGTTATTAATTGTATTAGAACATACCCTCTCCCCAAATACAACCGTTAAAAGCTTAGAATCCCTTATCCAGACAGTGCTAACCTGTAGAATAGCTCTAATGCTACCCATGGAAAGTAACTTGAACAGAAAAACTGAATGTTGGTACATGAGTTATGGTAGCATGAACATTATTAATTTACAAATAGACCAAACCAAACCCATATTTAACCATAGTTGACCACCTCTTTCCTGCATTAGAAAGATCAGAGTTATCTTCGACTCACTGGGTAGGGTCAGCTACTTAATAAAAGTGATGCCATAATGTTTTGTTGTGAATCATGTCGATAAATAAATCATTGACCTCTGAATCCTCAATGGTTCTGCCTATAGTTTTTCGTGGTCTCCCTCCACCTGTAGCCACTGGGGTTACAACCCATCTGATCTAATTCATGTTAGCCAAACATCTTTAGCTGTTCAAAATCACAATTTGGTTTTCTGCTTACTATTTCACTCAATGCATATTTATTCTAAGCTCTTAAATGCTGGTGTAAGACCTGTGTTTTCATTTTGTGACAGGATGTTATGATCCTTGATCAATCCTTTCTTTCTGGAATAGCTGATGTTCATGATCGGCACAGGGATATGCGACTTGATGTTGATAACATGTCTTACGAGGTAAAATTTCATTTCTGCATCTGGATGCAAATACACACGCACCTGCCATAATCAGTTTATCCCTTGCTTATATTTCAAGTTGGTGCTTCATTTTAGAGTATCTTAAGTTCTTAACGTAATTTTTATGACTGTAATAGGAGTTACTGGCTTTGGAAGAGCGCATTGGAAATGTGAGTACTGGATTGAGTGAGGAAACCATATTGAAACTCTTGAAACAGAAAAATTATTCGGTTGAAACAGGATCTCAGCTTGATGCAGAACCCTGCTGTGTTTGTCAGGTACGCCTGATTTGCTGACTTTGAAATATCCCCTAAATGCTTGTGCACACGGGTCTTACCACTTGATTATGTGTGCTGCAGGAGGACTATGGTGATGGAGACGATATTGGAACGCTTGATTGTGGCCATGATTACCACAGGGACTGCATCAAGCAGTGGCTAATGCACAAGAATCTGTGTCCCATTTGTAAGACAACGGGCTTGGCAACATGAGGTCTGCGACTTGGTCCTCAGGCAAAAATGATGACCATGAAGAAAAATGGCGCAATTTACCCAGGAAGTTCTGGTGCTTTTGTGCTTCGTCATACCTTGTTTTCTATCTGTAGTGTATTTTTGTTATTATTTCGTTTATTTATCTAAAGCCAACAATCTCCCGGTCTAGGTGGTGGATGGTTGATGTGGATCAAGGAGCAATTATTAACTCAGGTTGACAAAGCTTGGTTTACATTCATGAAAATTTTTTACGTAGCACATATCATTTTGGATTTATGCTGACAAGAATTATTGTTCAAACATCAGAATCGTAGGTACTGAATTTTACGTATTTGGGGTGCTCTCATGATTATACTGTGCTCCCGTATCAATCAATATTATAGGGCATGGTTACCTTAGCTTGCTTAGGTTTGTCGACATAATGCTCCTATTGCCACTATGTTTGGGTCAAAGGAAAGGGAAGAAGGGATTGACACTATGTTTGGTTCAAAAGAGTTGAGAGAAGAGAGTTCTTTATGGGGCGAAGGAAGAAAAGGTTGGAAAGGAGGCGGCCACATTGAAAAACTGTTGGGCAACCTTAGCTATTGCAATAGTGAAGTGTTCACTTTGTCAATATTACCTAATTTATATTAAATTTGTATGGACTAAATTAGACCTTGATTTGTAATAAACATTTTTAAATAAGTTACATTTACACCTCTTGAGATTTAATAAAATTTCATCAATTATATATACTTTTTCATTCTATGTTATTTTTTAATTTATTTAATAATAAAATAATATATGTTTTTCTTGATTACATAAATCATATAGAGTTATGTGAAAAAGGAGAATAAAGTAATGTTAAAAAAGAAAAGAGTATGAAGTTAAACTTTAAATTGTGTAAATGAAATTTGTCTTTTAAATTGATTAAGGTCTATATTAAGAGGACATTTCTAGCTTTTCACCCTTTTGAGAGTGCTGGAAGGCATGTTGCTTTGTGTATTAAAAGAATATTTATTTAAAATCCGTTGCTAAACCCGTTTTTAAATATATTCTCTCACTAAATTTTGTCTCTAAACTGAACTTTTCTAAAAGCGAATAAACAATTGAAGAAAAGGTAGAGATGATTTAAGTAGCGAAATTTATAATAAAACTTGTAACAAAATTTAACATGCAGACATACGTTATTCTCAACTTATGTTATAAGATACGTAATATGAACGAGTTATTATGGTTATTTTTATATATAAAAGAGATAAGAATAAATAAGTGCCTCTGTTAACAATAAAAAATAATTGGATTTACGACAATGGTCTAATTTGAATAAAATTTCTAATCAATGCTTATAAGATTTAAAAATAATTAGTAAAATAAATAAAATTCTTTCAATAAATTAAAATAACTCATGCTATTTGTAATTTTTTTAAATTTTTCTTATTTAACTTAAAGATATAAGTTATTTTAAAATTATGATACACATTTTATTTATTTTTTATATTAATTTTTCTCGTAGAAATATCTATCTAAAAACTTGCTCAAACTTATAGTGGGTGATAGTTTTATATTTATACGTTAGTTATATCTTAGTTTTAATTGTATTTAATTATTTCTTTGAGTTGAATGTAATTTTTTTTAATATTTTTTAAATTAACTAATTATTTTAATAATGTAAATTTTGTCTTATTATTGATTTTCTTACATAAATTTTTTAAATTATTATTTATATAATTTTTTTGACTATTTATATTAGAAATGATCAAAAAGAGATGGTAATCGCAAAAAAAATAAAAATAAAAAAATATTATATAAGAGAATATACAAAGAGAAATTTTTTGAAATCACATGCAAGAAGAGCAAATTGTATTATTTCTAGTCCACTAAAAATAGTCAATCCTTTTACAAAACTTATTAAAAAAGATATTTTATTTAATTAGATTTATGAAATTCGTTCTCTTTCTTATTTTTTTATCTCTAATTCAAATTGCTTCGATAATAAAATTCATCTAATCTTAAATTCAATTTTAAACCAAATTCAAGTTTAAAACTAATTTCATAAATTGTTTTTAAAGTTAGTTTTGAACTAGCCAAATCTAGTTTTATTCATAAATCGTTTCATATGTTCTCGTTGAACTGATGACAATGATAAATTCTTTTATTTTTGTACAAAATCCTAGTGTAGGGATTCAACCCATGGTAGTTAAAATCTCAATTTGAATTGTAAAATCTTACGATTTTAGAAGTTTTACCGATTTAAGTCATGGTAAAATCATGACTAAGTAAAATCTCATTTAAATTGTAAAATCCTGATAGATTTGTTCTTGGGCAAGTGTAACCATAAAAAAGTAATAAAATGTTTTCAATTTTTTTTTCTAAATTATCATCTCACAGAAATTATTTTTAAGTATAAAAAATACATTGATTCAATTGTTTAAATGCAAAATGAGAGTGATGAATTAAAAATAAGACTAAATGTTAGCAATTAATTAAAGAGGATGATAATGCAACATATGAGAGAAATTGAATAAAATGAGCTTAGGACTTATAGTTTCACCAATTACATTTTTTTATGTTCTGGTATTGCCAACCACTCATAGTAGTTCTATTAACACACAATAATCATACAATGTTAATATTTTTTTTCCTGAGCAATCACCCCTCAATGATCATATGAGGCAAATGGTCGAGAAAGCATAAAGACTTTGTAAATTTGTTAACTCAATAACAGTTGAAAGAGAGGAATTAAGTGTGATTAACCTAACTCTTTATCTCGTTTAATCCTATAGTTCTATTAATTACACATGTTACGATTACCTACGATGAAACAAATTATGAGATGTTACGATGAAACTAATTATGAGATGTTAAGGGTGATCTACTCTTAAAAGCCAAACATTAAAAGAAAAATAATAATGATATTAAAAGTAAAAATCACATAAAATATGCTATAAGATCCATTATAGCTCTAACTATAGATTTAGTTACTCATAATGAAATACACAACCAAAAATATAATAAACTAATTCATAAAACACTAGGAAAAATTCAAACAAGAGAAACACAAAAGAAAAAAGATGAAAAGAGTTTTCATATTCTAAGAAGTGCTCGATCGCTCGCTTTGGACTCTGAATGAGTTTGTTGTCTTTGCTAATAATCTCCAATAACTTTCAACGGTGAAGTAAGTCAGAACTAAGAAAAGGAAGACGTATGTCAAATGAAGTAAAAAAAGTGTCTCAAGTGTAGAATATAAGGATTTTTTATATAGATTGTGCCTGAGTTATGAGTTGTTTGAATTCTATCTTTTTGAATCAGTTTTATCACAATCATAATTTTAACTTTAGAATCTTAAATGAAAACTGCTTCAAATCTTCATATCTAAATATTTATCTAAATTTAAATTTTAAATTCAAAATTCAAATTCACATAGCATGTCTAAAGACTAAAATTATCTAATTTTTATATAAAATATTTTCATAATATATTGATAATAACTTTCTGTTAAACTGTATCTATTAATAGCATAATTAGTATATATATATATAATAAGATTTAAATATATCAAAATATAAAATTATTAGAATTTTAAGATTTCACTTTGATTCTGAAAATTCCTTGAAAAGCCTATTTTGTTGAACCCTAATGTAGTTGACGCCTTTTTGGTATCTCTTTTTTATCAAATCCAGTTTGCCGCTAGAAGCTTTGAGCTCTAACTTTGTTGTCAACATTTCAATAGTCCTCCCACTATTTGCAGCATGGTCTGCAACTAAACCCAGTAGTGTGCCACTGCTTTGTGTGTTCAAGTGTAGTGCTGCTATTTTTGCATCTTTTCTGTTCGGGTCTTTTTTTTACTCATGCCGATGCATGACATTCTTATGAATTATGATATGTGAATGCTACTTTGTTAGAGTGCTTTAACTGACTTTAAATGTTGTTTTTTCCTAATTTATGCTATTTACATGCATATAATGTATAGTATGAATTTATATGCATATATATGAAATTTGAAAAATCTTACGATTCCATATTTTCATTTATGATTTTCACTCCCCTTTAACAGTTTAAAGTAAAATCTCGATTTTAGCTACCTTGATTCAATCAACAATAAATATGAAGTGTTAGGATTATGATTTGTAAATTTTTTATTTTCTGAAGTTTTGATCATGGTATGGAGTTTCTTTTCATATGTTTTTGCCTCCTTTCCTTGTTGAAGACACTTTTTATGCAGCGCAAAAACAACTTATAGTTTCCTTACATTACTGAAGAATCAGAAGAACTTATATCTCCTATTAACATTGAAGCTCTGTTGGTCAAAACAGCAAATACTTTCTTTTTTTGTTGTACTTTATCCACACTGGACGTTGGCATTCTTTAATTTGGTTCAGGCTCAATGTTTTATCTCAGTAGAATCAATCACAAATTGCGCCTGCCTCCTTCTCGTCTTGCTTTTCCCATTCATGAAGCTATACACGTTGAGCTTGATAAACTATTCTTAGACAAGGTTTTCTGTTATTGCCATTTTCAGTTTTCTTTGTTACCCTTATAGTATAATTTATTTGACTTAATTTGCTTAGCTTCATTTTGGGTGTCTGTAATCATGTCAGGTCATAGCAAACATGGGCCTTTGCTTTTCTGTTCATGATATCATATCCATTGAGGGTGGATTTGTCTTCCTTGGTGACAGGGCTCTAACTTATACAGTATGAATTCATGGGTGATTTTGAACGTTTACTCTTACATTGGATGGGAGTTGATAAATAGTTTTTGCTTCTCTTAGCTGGATATTTTAACTTTATAAGGAGAAAAATTGCCCAACCAAAATTTGATCCTTAAATTATGATTTATGGGCAAAATTGTTGATATGCTATTGTGTCGTATTGAGTTATTTTCAGTATCGTGGAACCTGCAAAATTATTGTACTTTCTTAGGCCTCCACATTTACAATTTTATGATGTATGAGATGGGCTGTGTGACTGATTATGTTTCGTCCATTTGTGGGGGAGATTATTAAGGCAAGACTTCTTTCATCTGATGCTGATGGCTTACCTTGCATGTCTTCGACTTTCAGCTAGTCCCTTGATTGTTATTTTCACTTGACATGCATAATTTAGTTCGTTATAGTTCTTTGTTTTGTGGTGTGTTATTATTGGATAAGAATCATATTTAGTGCATACTTATATATCATATATTTGTTAAATCTTACATGCAGCATAATACTTCAAAGATTTTCTTTTGGTCAGGAAAAAAATTAGCAGGGGAAATTACGATTGTTTTTATAGTACAATATGGTTACTTGAAAGTTGTTTGTGGGAATTGATACATTCCTGATACTATTGACAAAAATATCTGTCATTATCTGGATTAGATATGTAGGTTTAGCAATATATATATAACAGTGAAAAGTCAATATTACACTCTTCCCTGATGTCTTTGCTGTTTCTTTTCTTTTTTTTCTTCTTAATGTGTTAGATTATGAGGATTCTGAACTTAATTAGGATCAATGTTAATTTAATTAAAGCTCATTCTATTGCAACAAGAATAATGTAAGACAACAATGTGGTTTTGCACGTTGAATTGCTATCAAAGCTAGTCTTGCATGGTGTGACAGTTAAAGCAACTACAATTTGCATCATGCGACAACACCATCCATTGCCTGCATCCTCTCAAAACTTAAAACCAATTGTCAAATGTTGATTTTTTTCAAGATAGCCTCTGCTTAATAATGCTGAATATGTGATTGGCAGTAACCCTTGGATTCTTTAAAGATATTTATGTTCCTGCACATCATCTGCCCAACCCAAACCACTTTGTGGCTGAGCCAGTAAATAGGTGATGTTTCCACTGTCAAGTTTTACTTTTGGGATGACCTCTAACTTAATGTATTGTATAATTATGTTCATCATCATGCTTATTTGCGGTTAAAAATTACAGCAAGAAAGGCATATGGTTGTGGGATTTTAACGGGCAATCATATGCTATTGATGATACTGATGTAGTTAGTCTCCTTTGCCATTTTTGTTAACTGAATCTTTGGAAAACAAAGAATATGCTAAATTTCAGTTACCATTTTGGCAGATTAAATACCGAGTTCAAAATGTGAGTTATCCATCAATTCCAGTTGAACAACCAAAAGAATCAAAGCCATTTGCCCCTATATTGGTTATTGTAAGTATTTTGATACTCACCGTACCGTGGTTCATGCATTTATGTGGATACTTCAAAGTTTTAAGTTTAAACACAAAAAATTGAGAAATTAAATTATTTTGAAATTGGGTGCTAGGAGTGTGCATATATAATTATGATTTTTGTTTAATTAGATGGATTCCACAGTTTCACATATAACAACGGATTGTTATTACTATGCATTGTTTATTTTGGCCCTTGATTCATAATTAACTATGAATTGTTCGTGTCTTCCTTGCACACGGTTCTACTTTCTTTTCTGTGTGTTACCTTGGGGAGGTGCAAACATCATGTGTTGGAGGGAATGTGTCTTGGTGGAGGATCGAATGAATAAACCCGTACATAAATATCATACCCAAATCTTATACACTTCTTTTCACATTGTTTCGTTTATTATCCCCATGTTTCTACGTCTTACCTTCGCCTCTCCTACTTTAGTTTTGTCTGATGTAATCATCCACATATTAATGCGAATACTTTTTATTATGCATCACGTATCTCTTGATTATGGATTAAATTCCCATCATTCGCAAGAGACAAGCCGGTGCCCTTCACATTGAATTAAAGTAATCTATTTGAATTTCTTGACGTATACAAAATGTTTTGGTAAGATAGTTGCATCGCATATTGATGGAATAATGATTTATTATGACGTCTATTTTACAGGGATCGTTAGATCACGATGGTCTGGGCCCTGTTTCTTGGTGGTTTGCCGAAGAGGTTGAAGAGGACGAGTAAAGGATTCAAAAGATGGTGAAATTTCTGTCTAGTGACAATTTCTAGTGTATATGAATTAGCGTAATGTGGATTCATTTCAACGATACTTATAGCTTTCTTGTTGAAATATGGTTTAGTATAATTTTAATGAGTTTCCAAATACACATTTCATTCTTAGATTTCAGTCTTGGGCATAAAAGAAATTGTTCTTGGTACGATATGAGAAATTAGTAGTATGCTTGCGACTCAACATCATTGAATATGCTCTTGTTCAATTCCTTTGCTTTGTCAAGTATCTAATGGAATCATCAAGTATCAAATCGCAAAATGTTGTAAAATGAGGAATTTAAGTATCAATTCGCAGGGTTTAATTACAAGGGAATTTAATAGATACAATCTTCGTCTGTAGAATGACGTAAAACGAGGAAACCTAGCAAGTAATAACATACTTTTAAATTCATTTCAAGTATTTTTACTATTTTGTTCAATTCAAGTAGGATTTCCATATGATGATAGTCTTATTTTTTATTGAGTGAATTTTATATTATATTTAGTACATTTTATACGATAATGCGTTGAAAAAAATGTTAGATAATGTATATAACTTTCCGTAAAAATGTTAGGAATATACTGTTTAAAATATATCGTATAATTGGTTTAGTTTTAAAAAGTTATAAGACTAAATTGATTACTTTTTGAAATTTGCTTTAACTTTTAAAAATAATAATTAGTCACTTAATATAATTGAGCACCCTAAAATAATCAGTCAAAATATAAATTTGTTAAATATAATTTTTCTTTTACCAAACAAATTTTGGTATATAGTGCAAGTTTGCTAGTACATTAAAATAAAGCAAACGTGTGTTTCAATTTCTAACAAGACATTGGACAACATTGATTTAATCGGATATAAGATACAAGGAATTTGGAACTAAACACACTAATAATAGGTCCTTGATAGAAGCACCATAAGAAAGTCACTAAAAAAATGAAAATTCATTGTGTTCACGTATCTTTGGACAAATGGCACTTTGAAGCAACAATATACTTAATATAGCTAATTATAATCACTTTTACACTTAACATATTTTGATTAATGAGTCATGAGTCACTCAATAAAATTGATTACTTTAAAGAAGTTACTTTAAATGAAATAATTTACCAGATATAAACATCCATATATTAAGCTCTATTTGATATAATAGGTTATTTAATATGATTAATCCTAAAAAAAACACTCGAAATGTCAAAATCTATTAAGCATAAAACAAATTTAGCTTCGAATGAGCCAAATGCTTCAAACGACTAAGATTTAGTTTTGGTAATTTTTTTAAAAGAAATTTAAAGAGAAAAACAAATTAATAAAAAAATTATTTTATAAATTATAAATAATTTATATCTTTGAATTTTAGAGAAATAAAAAAAATTATTTCTAACTTATTAGAAAAAAGTTTTATTATTTTTATATTAATTTTTTTTATCTTATAAGAACTTTTTTGAAAGTTTATACTAAACTAAAAAACACTTGAATTAAAGTACTAGCTAAAGTGAAGTAAATTTTAAAATTTGCAACATAAGGCTGAAAGTTTATTGTTGATGATCAAAATTTATTACTCTCCAAAATGATACAAGTAGCAAACCCATTTAATCAAGCTACTAAAATCAATACATAAAGGAAATTGAGTACTTCTCAAGATACTCAAAATTTCATGTAAATTTCAAATGCCAAAAAACATTATAATCCCAAATACATTAAAAAAATTCTAAATGAAGTTAGTAATTACGATTATGAAAAAAATTAACACATGCAAGGAATGAATGCCAAAGATACCAAGAACACCAATTAAAAAAAAAAAACTATAATCAACGTAGAAAAAATTATCTCACATTTAATTAAGAAAACAAAATATTACGTCAAATCAAAATTATTCAAAAAATTAGAGTAAAGTAAGTATTTTTAGGGTTAAATAATTGTCTATTCTTTTTTTCCTTTTTCACTTACTTATTTTAAAAATACATACACGTGTATGACTAGATGAATAATTCTTAAACTGCAAAAAATTATAGTCAAGGTGAGAAAGTCATAATAATAATTTGTTACAATTAAGAATTAAAAGGAAAAGATATCAGCACAATGAGCAGGTTATGAGGCTGAAATTTTTATATTTAAAAAGATAAATAATAAAACTTTTTTTCAAGACAAACTAACGAGGAGAGTTAAAAAGAAAAGAGACACAAAAATTTATATTTGTTCACTTTTGAATATATTCAAAGTTACAAGAAATAAATAAATAAAATATATTTTTAATTATATTTTGAGAATTTGTTAAATCTTATTTTAATTGTCTTAGATATTTTAATTTTCATCAATACTTTTTATTTTATTATTTTATAACAATTTTTAATATCAAATTTTTATTATATTAGCTTGTAAAAATACATATTAAAAATTCTATTTAGTTAAAGTTCAAATAACTGATCTGAGTTAATATTTTCTGTTCCTAAATATAATAATAGATGTAATTTAATTTTAAAAAAATAATACCCATATAATAATTTTATTCCAATAAACATTTAATACATTACATGGGTATATTTATAAAAATATTAAATACATGTGAGTAATAAAATTAAAATATAAAATAAAATTCTTAATATGATTGAAAATAAAAAACATTATAAAAATTATATTAATAATATATTTTTTTAATATTTAACGTGACTTACAGCATAAATAAATAAACAAAACTAAATAGAAAATCTAAGATAGCCAATTTTTAACATATCTTGCCTAAAATAATAACCCAATAAGAGAAAATATTCCCAACATAACAACTTAATGAATGAGTATACGATGGATATGTCGGGGACAGTATAGCCAATTCACGATCAATACGTTTGTAGCAGTATATATTTGTTAGAGACCAAAATAAATAAAGGGAGGGGTCCCTCTTCTCTTTCCAAACAAGAACCTTCGTTCTTATTTTTAATATATTGGGTTGTGTTGTAAATTTAAGATTATCGTTCTTTTCATTTTAACGTGTTCGGTTTTAATTTTATTTTTCTTATTTCTCTGTCTGATTGTGATATTCTTTGTCAATACCCTCATTCTCTCTTTCTTCTCATTTATTTTCGTGAAGAAATGGAACGATAAATCTAACAACGAGCACTCTTTCTATTTTTCTCTATTCATACTCATCTTCTGATTTTCCCAACAGATCGAGCCTTTTCCATTTCATCTGGTAGGTTCCTTCCACTTAACCTACTTTTTTTTTATGGTGTGATCAGTGGGTGATCTGGTGTTGCTTCAGAAATTTATAAAGTTTGAAATTTCCATGGTTTTGTTTCAATACTGCTTGATTTTTTATTATCTTTAATTCACCTTGGCGTTGTGTCAATTCAACCCAATATGGTGTTGTTAATGTTGTAAAAAAGTTATTATTCTTTTCACACGTGTTTATCCTTCGTCTTGTGTGAAAAGGTGCTGACTTTGTTATTGGGGTTTCGTCTCTTAATCTCGGGGCTGCTCAAATTTCCGGTACTCAATCAATTGGCAATGCTGCATTAGTGGGGACTGGTAATGCAAGATTATTTAGTTGATGAAAATGGTTGAGCGGTGGTGATGCTTATGATTTGGGTAGTGCATTCCTGTTTTACATGCTAACTCCTTAGGTTAGGGCATAGGAAGAAACTTGCTTGACCTTATCTCTAGTTCCACATTGGTTTTATTAATAGTGATTACTTTGGAGTGTTAAAAGATATTATTTCATAATGTTGTTGCACAATTGTAGAATTTGAGTTGGAAACACATATGCTGCCTGATGCATCGATACTTTTGTTGACATGCTAAAGCATTTATAGATTACACTATACGGATGAGTGCCCTGCCTTTAGGTTCTTTCTCCTTTCCTATTGTTGTTTTAACTTTCAACGGATACAGCTAGACGAGTCTCAAAAATGATAGAAGTCTTTTGTGTTCCCATATCCTGGATCTTAGTACAGCAAAAAGGTTCACATAAAACATTCAACTGTGACTGAGGTACATTACTGAGAAAATGAAACTTTGGAAAACGAATGATTATTGGTTTTAGATGCCTTTTGAGAGAATATATTTTGAAATAATTATTTTAAACTAGGTTACAAGTGGATGTGCATAATTGGATCAAAACCATTTACATCTTACAGTAGTTAGCTTCTAGCTATAGATTCAGTATGTTATTTTAAATGTTTTCACAGGTTTTGCTGGCATCATAAGGTGCAGGAGAGTCCAAGATGACTCCTTGATGTTTTGAATTATTGGTTGATTGCCAAAGATGAGTTAGAACCAATAGTTCATTATCCAATGGATTGTTCTGTTCTAATACTCTATCTAAGAGTTATCAATATTTATCAAATCTGATCCTGGCAAAAACATCACTCTTTGATGTTATGTATATGATAGATTCAGGAGAGTGTACAGTAGAAAGAAGTCAATGGGAACAGGCAGAAAACCCTCTAATTAACCAATTTGAGTGGTTATGCCAGCTGTAATTTTGTATTAGTTACTGTTATATATAGTCATATGATGAATTAGTTGGGTTGTTATGTTTCTTTTCAACAGTATTTGGGTAGGCTTTGGAGAAGGGGGTTCTCTCAAATAACCTCTGGTGGTAGTCATTTGAAATTCTTTTACCTAATTCTAAATCACTGTCAGTCTGATAATGTTTTGGGAATTAGGGTTCTCAATAAAATCAGAAGTTCCTTTCTGTATTATTGTACCATTTCTATCAGTATAGTTTCATTTTAGCAGTAGTACATTTGTTGGACTTGTTCGTTTTTAATTCCTAATGTGCAATTAATTGTTTTCTTGAACAGAATTGCCAATTTTAGTGCCTGGCTTGCTGCTCTATTGAGGAATTTATTTCATATATTTAACTGCATCAAGTTGGGAAACTCAGATTCCTTCAATGCAAGGGCAGAGAGGTACAATCGGTTCAATGTCTGAAACATTAGAATTTGATTGTGGATCTACATCAAGTAATTCTAACGCGGATCAGCAGATTTGCTGGAATAATGTGCAGAATCGGGCAGAAAATCAAATACCTGATTATATACTTTCTCCTGGTCATTTGAACTCATCTTATGTGAATTCTATAAATCAAGAATGGCAAAATTTTAGTGGATGGAGCTTAGGAGAGCCAAGTTCCAGTAATACGCCAAATGAGGTTGACAGTAATGAGCATAAAAGAGAACTTGGATGGTCATTGACTAGAACTGCTGGTACAGTAGATGGTCCAAGACTAGAAGAAAGGTGCCTTGAACCAACCAATGCTCTTTCACTAGACAATGCCAATGCAGGTCCTATGTATATGCGTAGCTCCAATTGTCATTTGATTTCCCGGAATATCAACTTAAATGCAGGTTTAGCGGAAAGTGGCAGTGATAATAGTCAACACCTGGAGGGCCCTAACTTACAAAAGTCTAGTGGGTCAGTAAATGAGAGTGTATCATCTATTGTTGGATCTGGTTCTTTTCCACTTCCTCCCGGAAATAATGGCTTCCTGGTAGCAGATAACGATGGTAGGCCAGGTTGTTCTCTCGAGACTCAACGCATGTCTTGTAAAAGAAAAGCTGTTGAAGGAAGTTCAAGCTACAGTCAGCATACAGATGGTAATGCTTGGCTCCCTATTCCTACTTGGGATAATGCCGGGAGCAGTTCCAGTAGATCTATTTCCTCAGAACAGGTAAATGCAAGACTTGGCCTGGGTACGGGGGATGAAGCATCTGAAAAGGCTTCTGATTCAAATGTTGCAGGAAGCTCGGAAAGCTTTAACAGGAATTTCCGGTTGAGGATAAATCCTTCTAACCAACAAAGTTCCATTCCTTCCACTGCTTTCTCAACTGGGAGCATGATTAGGCACTCTGTTGTTTCATCATCCTCTCAAGTGTCACAGAGGTTTCATCCTGTTGATAATTCTCTGAACTTGAGGTCAGCACCACCAATAGATAATATGATTCCTCAAAGCCAGCCACTAGTAATTCATGTTCCTGCTTTGCCAAGGAATAGACAATCATTTAGATGGAGTGGTAGTTCTAGGTCAAGAAACATCCATTCATCAAACTCAATTGTATGTGCGGACAGGAATCAGGAGGATGCAAACTCAAGAAGTATGTCCAGAAATATTTTAGAAAACCCAGGTTTTGTACCTGCAACTGATTTAAGAAATTTGGTTCAAACTCCAACTATTAGAGCTTCAAGTTCTAGTAGTGAAAATTTAAGTATTCCAGGAAATGTTGCTTCTTCATCACGGACTGCATCAAATCCAGCTACCAATCCCTCATCTGCCCCAACTTGGGTTTCTTGTCCTATATCTGAATATGTCCGTCGGTCCTTATTTTCTCCTGGTTCTGATGCTATTGGAAGTCCAAGCAATAATTATTCTTCCTTGCGCTCTGGTCTTTCTTCATCTGAATCAAGGATATTATCATCTGGGGTTGGGGCAAACCTGGGATCATCTTCACGGTTGGAGAGGCAAGGAGATGGTGATTTTGGAATACCCTATTCACTACGTACTTTGGCTGTTGCAAGTGAAGGAAGTAGTAGACTTGTATCTGAGGTCTGTTTTCAGTTGTCTTGTCTCATAATAGTTTTCAATGCTAGGAAAGATAGCTTTAGTGATTATATTAAGTGTTTGGAGTATTTTATTTTCTTTCATGAATAGTTGTTCTCTTGTAAATGACATTTTTTTCATGGTGCAGCTTCACAATGTTTTGGGCCTTATCCGTAGAGGTGGTGGGAGCATGCGAATTGAGGTTAGTTATTTAAAATTAATAGTGTGTATACTGACAAAGGATAGATACCAGTTGAGTAAAGTTTACACTACCTTTCTCTGTGTGTGATTTACTGGTATTGCCTTAGTGGCTTCAAAGCTGGTTCAATTCTTATACAGCTTTAAGGAAAATAATATAATTACTTGTTGTGTTGTTTAGAAGTAAGGGCTGAGTTGTTAAGTTGGCCACATGGCCCCAACAAGCCTACCGATGATGTTGATTTGTTTGTTATTCTGATTGGACATACCATTTGTTATGAACCAAATAATAGAAATGGTAAAGAAAAGAAAAATTTTGTTGAATTGAATTGAAATAACAAAAATAGGAGACATCTTTCCTTCAAGGGTCACAGGATTTCTCTATTTTCACAGAGCAAAGCTCAACCTGCAAATGATACAAGATAGACTGAAACCTTTCCTTACATTCTCCTATTTATTTAACTCCCTACTAACTAGTTATTGTAACTGTTCTAGCTCCTGTCACCCTCGGATTCCCAAAGGTATTCTGTCCCTATCTGTCAAACATAGGTAGCAAGCAATAATGATTCAGAATCTGATGCAGCAGTTGAAGTAATAAGCGGAAGGTTGCAAAATTTTGCACATTGTTATCGGTATAATGTCTTGCCTACCTATATCATAATGAATTGTAGGTTTCTTATAATATTATCGAAGATGAAAACAGGAATCAACCCAGGTAACAAGTGGTCAGGGGCTAAAAAGAAAGAAGCCGAAAATAAAATACACTTTGCTTTCATAAAAGTTGAGCTTGTCATTTCTTTATATTGTTTTGGCAAATACTAGTTAGTGCCCTTTAGGCCTTGGTTAAAAAATCAAAAGTGATTTTTTTAGTGGAAAATATAAAAATTCACTCTCCTCATGATTCTCAATACTGCTCCCTCCATGATTTCTAATAAAAACTGTGTTGATTCCTTAACCTATGTCCTATGGGAACTGATTAGTAGGACTTTATATAATTTATAATTTAGTAATGGAATCTGTATCAAACTTTCCTGCAGTTCTCAGTGTAATAAAGTTCCAAACTACTTCCCATTCAGCTCATATTTGACACTGCTTATAACTATTCTGAAACGTGCTCCAAACTGCAAATGCTTTATTATGCATGTGCATGTGTGTGTGTATGTGAAGGGCTGTGGCCCTTAACTAGCTAAAATTAAAATACTTCTAAAGAAAGACAAGCCAGATAAGTCTTCTAACAACAGTCTACCACATCTCGGAAAGAAAAGCTGCTTTTTTTAGGGTACAATGGAGGGGGCATCGCGTACAACAATTGGGCCTCTGATTTGTGTACAGTAGAAAGAAGAAAGGAAACAGGGAAATAATTGAGAAAACAAATTCTCTTTTCTGTCTTTTAGTATTTTCTTTCCTGAGCATGTATGCTTGTTTTGAGTTTTCTCTCTGTCAATCCTATAGTGCATTCTGTTCCTGTCAGGGTCTACCACATCCTGGAGGAGGAAATACCAATACATGAATTCTAATGCAGAACCATGAGAAAGATTTACAAGCTAATCAACTATCTGGTTTGTTCCCTACAACCATGGTCACTTAAACGCTCCCAACATTTAGTCAAGAAAACCTGTAATTTTGTTCACCGACACAGCACGAGAATGTGAAGAACTACATCCCTTACCTGTTCTTTTTCTAGACACTTTTGTAATAATGTTATGGTGGAACTGATGTAGGGTTACAGACCTTGGAGATCTATGACACATCCAAAATCCAAAGGAGACTGTCTTCTGGATGGTTAACTGGGGAAAACTGAAAAAAGATGTTATTAATTAAATCAGAACACTCCCTCTCCCCAAATACAGCAATTAATAGCTTGGAATTCCTCATCAAAAACAGTCCTAACCTGTTAGAATAGTTCTAATCCTATCCATCGAAAGTAACTTGAACAAGAAACTAAATGACAACTAAATAACACTGCTACAGCAGCATGAACAGCACTTGCATACAGAAGCATGAACAGTGCTTTTGCCACAGTATGGTAACCAAGCATGAGCTACAGTGGCATGAACAATATTAATCTACAAATTACCCGAAGCAAAATCACAAAACCCTTATATAACTGTAGTTAACTACCTTTGTCTTGCACCAAGAAGATTAGAGTTATCTTGGACCTCTGATATGTATACCTGTATCCTAAGTAAGAAATTAAAGTTTCTCAGAATTTTGAAGGATCTAATATATTACCAAACAAGCCCTTTCTCACTAGGTAGGGGCAGCTACTTATATTAAGTGATGCCATCATGTTCTGCCATGCATGAATCTTGTCTATGGATAAATCATTGACTTCTAAATCCTCATTGGTTTTGCTAATAGTTTTTCATGGTCTCCCACCACCTTTAGGGGGACAGGGTTGCAATCCCCAATTGGTTTTCTGTTTATTATTTGACTCCATACATATTTAATTATTTATACTAAGCTCTTAAATGTTGGTGTAACTGTAAGACCCGTGTTTTCCTTTTGTGACAGGATGTTATGATACTTGATCAATCATTTCTCTCTGGAATAGCTGATGTTCATGATCGACACAGGGATATGCGACTTGATGTTGATAACATGTCTTATGAGGTAAAATCTCATTTCTGCATCTGGATGCAAATACACAGGGATATATTTCAAGTTGGTGCTTCATTTTAGAGTTTCTTATGTAATTTTTTTGACTAATAGGAGTTACTGGCTTTGGAAGAGCGCATTGGAAATGTGAGTACTGGATTGAGTGAGGAAACCATATTGAAACTCTTGAAACATAAAAAGTATTCGGTTGAAACAGGATCTCAGCCTGATGCAGAACCCTGTTGTGTTTGTCAGGTAGGCCTGAGTTACTTCGCAATATCCCCTAAATGCTTGTGCACGAGTCTTACCTCTTGATTATGTGTTCTGCAGGAGGATTATGGTGATGGAGATGATATTGGAACACTTGATTGTGGCCATGATTACCATAGGGACTGTATCAAGCAGTGGCTAATGCGCAAGAATCTGTGTCCCATTTGTAAGACAACAGGCTTGGCAACATGAGGTCTGTGACTTGGTTCGCAGGCAAAAATGATGACCATGAAGAAAAATGGTACAATATACCCAGGAAATTCTGGTTCTTTGGTGCCTTGTCATACCTTGTTTCCTATCTGTAGCCTAGTATTTTTGTTATTATCATTTCGTTTATTTATCTAAAGCCAACAATCTGCCGGTTTAGGTGATGGAGCAATTTATAACTAAACTTGACAAAGCTTGGCTTACATTTATGAAAAAAATTTTCGTTGCCCATATTGCTGACAAGAATTATCATTGAAACATGAAGGTCGTATTAGATTTACGTATCTGGAGTGCTCTTAGGGGTTATTCTGTTCTCCGAAATTATTATTCCTTGGTTTTGCTGATGTTTATCAATATTAGAGGGTTTGGGGTTACCTTAGCTTGCTTAGGTTCTTGACATAATTCTCTCGTGACACTATGTTTGGTTCAAAAGAATGAAATTTCTTTTATATGCTTTAGATTCTGCCTGAATTAATTATGCATGTTTTATTTATATTTTGATTTTTTTCATGAGTTTTTCTATTTAATTTGTATTTATATTTTTCTTAAATTTAATAATGGATGCATGATTTTTTTTAATTAATAATTATAATTAAAACATTTATATTTAAGATTGCAATCTTTTTTTTGTTTTTTTCCAGATTAATTCGGATTTGATCTGGGTCAGTACCTGAATGTAGTGAGTGAATTTAGTACCGAAATTTTTTGCATATACAAGAATTGAAACTTAATATCTTATTTAAATGATATAGAGTTTTTTCGTACTTGGATTAATTTTTGTTGGTTATATAACGATTTATTTCATTCTAAAAAAAATTTCATATTCCAGTCTAATAAAGAAAATTTTAATTATGTATTTATCTTTTAAAAATATGAATTAATCAAATTATAAAAAAAAAACTTTCGCTTATATCTTTGTGACAACGTAAATTGAAGTCTTTTATAAGCATCCTTTAAATTTAAAAGAATATTAAAATAATAATAGAATCTCCTCCTCCTAAAACATTTTTTCTACCAAAAAAATAAAAAAAATTAACCAAGCATATAAAATTATACTAACTAACGCATTAAATCTTGCCGCTAACCACCGACTAGATAACCGCCTCTTGCAAACTCTCTTTTAAATACGGGAAAGCTTGCCACTAAGCATGCTGTGGATGCATGCTCACACTGAAACTTGCTGCAGAGCGTAGCCAAATTAATGCGTTGAGTTAGGTAATTTCATTCCAATCTTCGACAAAATGCCTACAGCTTATTCTTCTTTCATGATTTTGGTGACGCTTGCCGTTGAGGGTAACCAAGACAACGTGTGAGGCCAACACAAGCAAACAGCATGACATTTTGATGATGTGATTCGTTGATGCGAATTTTGAAGAAACTAAAATCAAGAATTTTACCAATATTTAAGAAAACAAAGCATTGAAATGCCAAGAGAAAGAATGGACCAAGATCCAAGAAATGCAGGTTTTCTTTATTATCATTTACTTCTTTTTAGTTTTGGACGACTGTTCTTTACTTCTTTTGATCCAAATGCAATAACATCAATTTTCCTTGCATTTATCTTCCTTCCTTTTGCACTGAATTTTTGGATAGAAAAAGAAATTCATTACGAATACTATAAATGAGTAAAATAAAATAAAGCACACGATAAATATAGGATATTAACTTTCTCTGACACATGAAACCAGAGACTAGTTGCGACTATTTTGTTTGGTTTGTTACATCTAGTGTTTCCGGTTGTTGTAGCAATTTGAACCCATAGGCTATAACATAATCTGCCCAAATCATCAAACCAACCCTCTCCGCATGTGCTACATACCCGTGGCTCTAAGTTTTGTTTGATTTATTTAAGCTGTTAATTAGGATAAAGAAATATGTATGAGGGTGGGTGCCAATTATCTGTGTTCAAATGGTTATGCATTGTTACTCGTTCATTGATTAATTGTTACTTCAGTGCTTGACTAGTGATCTGTTTTGCAAATATGAAGAGAAATGGTTTGAACAATTTAGCTCGCGTCCAATGCTTTTAGAAAAGGAGTAATAATAAGGAAGAACACGCAAACATAAAAGCATGGTGTAAGATCTCAAATACTGTACTCTCACTCACAAACAACAATTACTTCAGATATCTCTTCTCTTCTAATTTTCAAAATTTAAACAATTAATTATAGACTCTGCATACTTAAAAACATGTAATTGAAAGAAAGGAAAAAGAGAAGGAATGAAACAAAACATACATTCTTTCGGCTTACATGCAGTACAAGTACACACACATTAATAGTTTTATGTTGGATTTAAGTTGTATAATTTTTGTTTGATAAAAATTAAATTATGAGTGTAGATATTATGAATTTATATTAATGATATATAGCTAATACATCAAATATTAATATCATGTATTATATTATTTATGTAATTTTACAATATTTGTATTATTGATTTCATTTTTAATAGACAAATTATAATAATAGAGATAACCTTAATGTTTTGACATTCTTTTTGTTTGTTAATAAACAACATCGTTTGTGTATTTATTGCAAAGAGAAGTAGAAACTATCTGTAGCAATGGAAGGAAAGAGAAGACGTGAAATCTACAATCCCTTATATTGTATTCTTACCAGGCTATCAGAGTAAATGAACCTAGTTTGCTACGCGAAGCAACTCACTTTAAAGTGGTGGATGCAGCATCAAATTTAATTAAGGTAAAATGAAAATTCAATTTTAGTTCTCTAAACGATGGGACAATTTTCTCTATTTTTAATAGTTATGATTCAATGATCGATTCATCTCGTGTGTCTAACAGCATATAGCATAGTGTTCACTTATTTTTGACTAATTTTGTTAAAATTAAGATTTTATTCCTATATTTTGTGAGATAATTTTCAATTTAGTTGTGTATAATAAAAAATGTTTTTTGGGTTTTGGTTCTTGAAATAGTTTTGAATTCATGAATCAATCCTGTAAGATGTGCCATTCTATATTTCGATTAGTTGAAAATACATAGAAATTCTGCATCGGTGTATTGTGTATATCGATGGCTCTTCCCGGGCACCACTACCAACCCCAACAACCACAGTCGCAATCCAAATCTTTCAGGTAATCAAATTAAAATTTCTAATCTCCCAACAATTCCCTTCCCTTTGTCTAATTCTAATCCTCCTCTCTTTTCTTTTTCAGAGTTGATTTTGACGCTCAAATGTCGCAGCCCCTTTCCTATTTGCACCGTTCTCCCTGTAACGTTTCATTCTTAGGGTTTCTTTCTTCGCAATCTTGCACAAAAAATTTCACCTAATTGATTCATCTGTTACGTTGTCCTTGCAGTTCATGTCGTTGGACTTGCCCCCCCTGACGATTTGCAATGGAATTTGGGTTCGGAGCACGACAGAAAAAGATTCAAAGAACAAGAGAACAATTCTCAATTATCTTGCGTTGATATCATGCAACCTCGATCAGTCTCTACGGGCTTGGGTTTATCACTCGACAACACTCGCTTCGCTTCCACCGGAGACTCCGCATTTTTATCGCTCATCGGCGATGACATCAATTGCCAGTTGCTGCGTCACGACGCAGAGATAGATACATTCCTCAGACTCCAGGTTAGTTTTTTGAAGCATCTTCGTTCTTAACATGGTAATCAATATTCCTAATCTGCGCAAAATTGAACATGATAAGAAATCAACTGTATAATAAGTTTTTATTGAAGATTACAGTATTATCAATGCATTGAATTCTATTATTTTCAATAAAAACTTACTCTATATATGTTATTGTTATGTGCAATATTGTACAGATTAGATGGAACGTATGTTAATTAATGATAATGATTAATGGTTCCTATGGTAATAGAGTGAACGATTGCGAGAAACGGTTTTAGAGAATGTTCAGGCGACACAGCTTAGGAGCATTTCTGTCATTGAAGACAAAGTCCTTCAAAAACTTCACGAGAGAGAAGCGGAGGTAGAAAGCATCAATAGGAGGAATATAGAACTTGAAGAAAGGATGGAGCAGTTGACTGTTGAAGCAGATGTGTGGCAGCAAAGAGCCACATACAATGAGAATATGATTGCTGCTCTGAAGTTTAACCTTCAGCAAGTGCATGTCCAGAGCAGGGACAGTAAAGAAGGATGTGGTGACAGTGAGGTAGATGATGCCGTTTCTTGCTTCGATGGCTGTTCCATTGATTTCCATCCGCTCTCTGGAGAGAAATGCAATGAGAAGGAGATCATGACGTGTAAGGCCTGCAGAGTCAATGTGGTGAGCATGCTTTTATTACCATGTAAGCATCTCTGCCTCTGTAAAGATTGTGAAAGTAAGCTTAGTTTTTGTCCTCTTTGTCAATCCTCCAAATTTATTGGCATGGAGGTCTATATGTAACAGGACACCGTGCTTGTGAAATTTCTCATTTCACATTAAGGCTGTGTCCTTTTTTTACTGATTATTGTTTAGTTCAACCTCTAAAGCTTGTATCTTCATCTGGGCATACAAGAAACAAAAGCTCTTGCCTCCATGCCACTATGAAACTTGTTTTTCAGATGGTTTCTTGCATAATGAATATCAGTTCTTGTTCTCAAGAGCAGTATATTTTGATTCATTCAACTGGTTAGAACCAGATCGGTAACCAAATATGGATACCCTTGGGAAGAGTTGTTTCTGTAAGTTTTGAGATTACAGTATACACGAAGAGTTGTAACTGTTGTCTTGAATATTTCAACTTGCCTAGGTTTCACCTGCCTTGTAGGTTTCTTTGTAGTTTGTACAGGTAATCAGCGTTTTGTTTTTGGTGTGATCTTCACCATTCTTAGTTGTTTGATGTCAATCATTCAAATTTATTAGGATAGAGGTCTATATGTAATAGGATATCTTATGAGTGAAATCTAAATTTATTATGATAGAGATCACTATATAATAGTATATCTTACAAGTGAAATCTCAAAATTAATACTAAAATTATGTATCCTTTTGTTATTGATTATTTTGTTTAACCTCTAAAAGCTTGTATCTTCATGGCATGTTAAAAAAACAAAAGAAAGACAGCTTTTACCTCCATGCCAGCAAGAAACTCGTTTTTATGACGGTTTCTTGCATAAGGAATATTACTTCTTGGTCTTGAGAGCAGAAGTAGATTTTCATTCATTCAGCCATGTTGTAACCTGATCCGTAACCAAGTATTGATACCCTGGGAATAAGTTGTTTCTGTAAGTTTTGAGATGAAAGTGTGCATGAAGATTTGTAACTAACTATCATGAAGATTTCAACTTGCTTGTAGGTTTCTTTCTACAGGTCTGTTCTGTTTTGCTGATTTGAGCTGTGACAGGATCGATGGTAGAAACTTAAATGGCAAACGCGAACAATGCATGATTTACACCAAGTCTCACGAAAATTTCCTCACCCCTATTGCTACCATCCTTGTTTAGGCTTTTACATCCACTATTTTCTTCGATTTTCATTTTTCTTCACAAGGATTGGTATAAAGATGACACAACCGAATTCTAATTTGCTCAAAGAGGAACCTACTTTGCATCCCCTTTCTAAATTTTTGCCAAGTGGCTTTGCTGCTTAAGTTCATACAGCTCGCTTTAATGATTTGAAAACTCCCTTTCCATTTCTCGTTGTGGCATAGATTCTTAACACAGCCTCTAAAACCTGTGCAAATTTTGTCTAAAGCTAAAATATTTGGGAATCAGGTGTCAAGTTTTCTTTGGTCTAGAATGGTGTATATCTGGTATAACGAAGTCCAATATTTTGACTGGAGTCCAATATGAAATGCGGGCTTCAACATATTCGATGAAGTTGTTTCTTTTTTTTTCCTAAAATATCCATTAGTAAAGGTTTAAATAAGTTGGTTTTTCGATTTGTTACTTCCATGATGAATGATCCATCGTCGTACAACTTCCATTCACTTTCATTTTCTGAATTAATCCTAATTGTTTTTGGAAATTACATTGTTGGGCTAGACGTTCACCCACCCTTCTCCATAGCTCACAGTCACAGTTGGCTTCATCAAACTTGCGGATTCTCAAACTGTTCAATCTTCATTTTTAATTACTGTGAATTTCATGCTGTAACCACTAGTCTTCTACGGCGAAGATGCTCTCCAATGAAATATTAAAGGATGATTTGGGTAATCATTTTTAAGAGTGTGGTGTAAGTAGCAAAACACTAGGCGGAAAAAGTAATGAACAACATTCAGAGAGATAGGCCCAATTATTTGAAGAGCTCATACTGTGGTTAACTGCCTGCCACTAACCCTTTACCCGTGTTATCCACCTAATTGCAACCATTAATGCTGCTTGTTCAGCTAAGTGAAACACCCCAGGTGAGAGAACAAAGACAGACAAAAGGGGAAAGCGTGGGGAGTAGAGCTTTCAAAATGGATCAAAGTCCTAAGCTCTATCCTCCTAAACTCTACCTTATTAGCTCTCTATATAATTCTGCATTTTTTAAAACTCTATAGTTAATGGGTTTATATTAGCCCTAAATCCTAAAATGAAAAAAATAGTAGGTTAGGGTCAGGTTAGGACTGGGCTTTATTTTATAAAGTAAATAATAACTATTATCATTTTTTTATAATATTTATTAAATTATTTTATTTAAATAAATTAAAAATTATATTTAAAATATAAAAAATATTTTTAAAAATAAATTTTTTATTCAATATATTAAAATTTTATCATAAAAATAATATCAAATATAATTATATTATAAAATCAAATTTAATCCTTACGTTAGGACATTTTCCCTTGGATACGATGTCGTTTTTATTGAATGAAATTTTCCTTTCGTCATGATATTGACGAGGTTGAAGATCTCTTCGATAGCTATGTTTGCAGTTAGACAGTGGTCATTTCATTTTATAATTTTATGTTAATTTATTACTTATAATATATTATATTAATAATATATTTAAGAATTATTGATTTGAGTACAGTTCAATTTCAGTCAAATTACCATTTGAATAACTAAAACATTGAATTATAACATAAATTATCTCTTTGTTATCAAGGGAAAATTAAGAAAGAGAAAGAAAGAAACATGTCACCAAGCTTTTAGGCTATTATATTTATGTATGGTTTGCAATTTGCTAATAAGGTTTCAGAGTCGTTAAAAGCTTGTACGCAATTGAACCTCAGGTACATATCTATAGTTTATATAATTTTATAAATAAATATTTTAAAATTTATTTATAAAATTATATAAAAAATTATTATAATTATTTAATAATTATCAATAATACAGATAAAAATTATATAAAAATTAGTAAAATTATATAATAATTGTTATTTTTATTAATTTTATTTAATACAATAATTATTATAAATATTTAATATTATATAAACTTTATTTTTTCTTTTTTTAAGTAATTTTATTGGATTACAAATTTATTATAAAAAATATTATATAAAATAAATATTTTTACTAAATATTTTAATAATTATCGCAATTCATATCGAATTTTCTTAAATTTAATTTTTTAATAACATGTAAATTTTGTTGACCACAAAACCCTGATCCCGTGAGTTTTTTGATCCTATAGGCTTATAAATTAGTGAACTTTTTAGTTCACAAAACCTTTCGGCCCTAGCCTACATGGGTTACGACTAAGGCTGGGTTAAATAAGCTTTTTGACAGCTATAGTGGGGAGATAAAAGCCCAACCCCGAAAGAAAAAAAAAAAACAACTCTACAACTAGGCAACAAAAATTTTCATCATGCAATGAAATTTGTTAAGCCATGATTACTAGGTCCATAAGATTTGTAGCCGTTCCATTTTCTTGAATATAGACATCGAATTTATTATAATTTTGGAATAAAACAACACCGATAAGTACGCACCTTTCAACGACTATATATGTGAGTAAGTTTAAGCAAAAAAGATTACTTTTTAAATCATGGTTCGATCTTAAAACATTTACATTGAAGCGTTTAAAATAGCCTACAATTTCCTTTTATTCAGGTAAGGGGCTACATATACCATCCAACTACGTACTCTAATCCTTAATTATATCAGTTATCTTTCCCTCATACGAATTATAACAATGGCCGCTTAAAGTGTTGAGAGAGAATGCGACATAGAGAGAGATCCATTATTTAAAAAACAACTTTAAAGAACTCATTTGCTAACGTGTTCGCTGATATCCATTTTTTATAACATGACAGCAAGAGACAAATCACCTTTTTATGGCTGATGTTTAATACTTAATAGTGAGGATTATCTCAAACTTTTTCTCGCTATTCAAATACTTGGAAAGCAAGTTTTTTTTTTCCCCTAAATTTGGTGTCATAGAGTTGGCAACATAAAGGCAAGGGAGGAAGAGGAAGAAAGGACGAAGGAAGAGACTGCTTTTCTTTGAAGGAGGTGGAGAAGATTGGTTAACTTTTTTCTAATCATGCCATAGAAAGTGATGACAAAGAGGAAAGTGAATATGCTTCGCCCATGATTATAACTATCTATCTCGCAATCTATTATTGTTATTATAATTATTCCCACCACCCCCTCCACTTCCACCACCTCCCACCGCAAATTCCAGCTGATCTTAGTCCTGTCATACTCATGCCCTTCGCCTTTTTCCCTCTCTCTCTCACTTCCTTGTCTTTTTTCTTGTACTTAAAAGTAAAGGAGCCATCCTCATTTAAAATTAAGTGTATATATAACCGTATATATATGTACTAATAAGCATGTAGATACCAAAAAGATTGTCGTAAATTTCAGATATATGAAGAAGAGTGAGAGTGTTCACTTCAGTTCAATCATGCAACCTCATCCTTATTCCCCATAAAGCTGTTTTTATACTTTCTTTTTTCTTCTTTCTCTCTGTGGGGTCTGTGGCCAGCCTTCTCTAGGCCTGCTTCCTTCCACTTTGTATCACAATATGCTTTCTTTTTTTTTTCACCGATATCATATGCCATAGTGAAATTTATTTTAGGACTCCAATATCTCTGTTCTTTTGCAGTCAAAGTTATTCCTTCTTTAAGCTGAACTGTGTAGCTAGTTATGCCCACAACTTCTGCTTTTGATGGATATTGCGCTCTGATGCAAAGCTTCTCCCCACGTAAATGGAACATTTGTTCTTTTGCCAGGATATGTAAAACCCAATATTCTTTACCCTTGTGTTGGACTTTGGGAGATGGGTAGATTTATGGTACCCTGTGGAATTATGCATATATAAATGGTACCTGGAGTATACTATACATACATGGCCGTCGTCCTTGTCCTTCATTATTATTAATTTTCTTTGTATCAGGAAGTTACGTAAGAATAATTAGGATATATAACAAATATGAAAACGAAAAACATAAAATTTCTTCGTACGATGCAAATTTTCTCCTTAAATATAACCTGGCACCAAAGTAGTCAACATTTTATATGTTGTTTTAGATCCTATGAACATGTTTTCTTTGATATGCAACTACAGTTTTGGTAATTTTCGTTTTATATTTATGGTGTGGTGTATTCTTTTATTTGAATGTTCAAACTTGAAACGCTAAAATCAATAATCACCATGCATTTCAAGCTAGTCTCCACCATCGAAGACTAGGACGTACGCTGTTTTTACATGCTTGTACCCTTCTGTTCCTTCACTTATATCTACAAAAGTTTGGTGCGTTTCTTTTGCTTTTTTGGGTGGGACGTGAAAACAGCTTCACTCTGGTTCGGTAAATAAAGCCAACACCAAAGAAGCCCCGGACCATAATAGGATGTTGGTTCCACTTTTGGCAACAGTGGTGCGGTCCTTGAGAGAATATAGAAGGTACTAGCTAACATTAACCTGAAAACTTACCTTAAAATCATGTTTATATATATATATATATATACACACACACACACGCACATACATTACACCCTCTAGTAGTACTTACTAATTACAAATTAGCCTGGCTAGCTTGTTGAAAACAGATCAATTAAATGGGTGTAATTAAATTGGTTGAGTAGTGCACGAAGTAA